AGTGGCGTAACGTTGCCTGTTGGCGCCCCCCTGCCGAAAAGGCGCCCCCCTGTTGGCGCCCCCTCTCCTTTTGGTGCCCCTCCCTAAAATTGAAAAAATTAGGCGATTTAAGAGGATACGCCGGTAAAATCTCTAAAAAAGTGTGTATCTAGAGCAAAACGCGCAGTTTTGCTAGTACTTTAGTTAAGTTTTCGAAATTGACCCACATTCAAACGACGATTTGGCGCCCCCCTAAGACGGCGCCCCCCTGCACAGCAGGGTCAGCAGGGCCCTTCGTTACGCCACTGGTTTTCAGTAAATTAAGACAACTCGACCAACAACAACAGGCAACACGTGTTTATTGTACTGTATAGAGTAATTGATATCATTTCATGCATGTTTTAGTTGTTTTGTAGTTGATAAAATTCGACCGAGAAAAATCGTCAGATTAAACAAGTTTTCATTTCTCACGGGGCAGAATTAATATCATGATTGAAGTTAGATTTCCTCTTAATTGAACATACAAATGTCAAATGTACTTCCCACAAGTTACCCGCGTTTTTGTCGAATTAATGTTAATGTCTTTCATGTTAATGGATTTTATTTGCTTTCGGGGCCGGGATACATTATTATTCGTTTTAAGCTCAATCGTTGCTAAAATTTGCTAACATCTTGTTACATTTGTTTATGTCAATTTGTCCTTGATAAATGAATATATCTTCACTTCTCTTAAACTAATAATAAAGATACGTTAACAAACCCAAACTTAATTCGCTCCTACTAAATCGCTCGCCCAAATTTGAAGAAAATTCTTGTGAAAAGGACCTTTTTGCATGAAAGTTATCTTGATCGGTGTATTTTTGGACGCTGATTCCGAATCACCCTCCATGACGTAGGGTTAAAATGCTTCCCTGGAGAGTTATGGGCAAAAATCCGTTTTGGTCACGTGACAGGCTAGTAAAACGTGAATTCGATTATTTTTGTATCACGTTGCGACCCCCACGGTCGTTTCACTATTTATCGTCCTGACGATACAGGGGGAGCCGCGCACTTCGTGCGCGGCGGGTCATACAACGTATGACAAGATTATTTAGGGCTCGGGTTAGGGTTAGGGTTGTGGTTAAGAATATCTATAGCTTCGGGATTATGTTTAGGGTTAGGGTTGGGATTAGGGTTTATGTAAAACCGTTTTGTACGGCTGCAAAACCAAAAAAAACCAAAGTCACGTGAAATTTTTGGGCGAGCGATTTAGTAAAAGCCAACTTAATTGCATGCATTATGAAAAAAGTGCCACGCCCTATTTATTAGGGTGTTAAATGATAATGCTTGTAAAAATTTCTGATCTGTCAAACGAATTTAGCTTTCATTTTAGACTTCACGTCTCCCGAAATAAAACTGCGAACAAAGTGAAACAAGGAACTAAGTAAACTGTAAAACCAAATTTTCGTCACGCATTGGACTTTATCAAGGTTACACTGAAAAGGGGAGGTTTGATCTCTGAACCAGAGAGTGTGGTAATAGGGTTAGGAAAGTAAACATACATGCGACAAAGATCAGGGTTATCATTAGGAAGAAAATTTCAGCAAAATTTATAGAAAAGGGGTGTACACATCCATGCGAGAAAAATCGGGTTGCCAATAAGAAAAAATCACAACAGAGAAAGTTTACAACCCTCAGATCAGCGTAGTAAAAGTGTACTAGAAATTAGTCTGTAAAACCGTTTCCACGCATGTTATTGATTTTCGGTTTAGTGTGTTCTATTGCTAAGCCTTCTCTTATAAAGGTATCTAAGGTATCCTTACATTGTTCTGATATGCTAAATTCGTAGTTTTCGAAGAATTTTGCTAAGTCTCTTTTTCCCGATATGGGAGTGTAGTGTGGGTCGTCTGCTCTGCGGTGTTCAGCAGCGTGGTATCCTAGTGTGGTCCTGCTGTTGTTGAGTCGGAAGCTAGACTCGTGTTCGTAGATTCGACCTCTAATAGGTCGTCTTGAAGCTCCTATGTACAGATCTCCGCATTTCTTACATTTTGCTTTGTACACGTAGTGTCGGGTGGTACAGTTGAGATCTGCCTTGCAGAGTTCGCACTCACATATCTCGTCTTTAGATGGTGTGCTGATGATGCTCCTGACAGCTTTCCCCGCCTGTGTCACTACTCTGGCGTTTATTCCCAGTTGCTTGATCGATGAGTTGACTCTCCTGGTAAAGCTCTCGTTAATGTACGGTATCTTCAGGATAAGGTCGGGTTCTGGCCGGGTTCTCGTGGGGTCGAGCTTGTTAGTACTTCTAGTCTCTCTAGAGCTTGTAACATGTGTTTTGTCACGACTTCTTTGGGATATCCGGAGTTTACGATCAGGTGAGTTTTCAGTTTTTCGAGGTATGCCCAGCTGTCATCCTTGTATTTGCAGTTGAGAACTATCCGCCTAGTCTCCGACCTGATGATGTTTGTTTTGGTGACTAGACTACAGTGTGAGTCGTAATGCAAATATCTTCCAGAAGCCGTAGGTTTTTGGTAGTGAGTGAAGGATATTTCATTGTTCTCTTTTAGCTCAATGGTGAGATCAAGGAAAATGAGCTTTCTATCTTCTTGAAGTTCGCTGGTGAAGTTTACATAGGCCCAAACAGAGTTCAGATTGGCTTTGAATTCCTCGAAGTCTTCGGCGCTTGACTTCCAGAGTAACCAGGCGTCGTCAACGTACGTGGAAAGGCACTCCGGCTTGTGGGTACTCTTTTCTGCTGCTATATTGTAGGTGTAGTCGACGATGATTTCTGCGTATGCGCCTGAACTATGGGACACAGTGCCGATACCCTGTTTTTGTAGGTAGCATTTGTCGCCTGCTTTGATGTAAGTGTGGTGTAGGACAAATTCGAGCATGGAGACAATATGTGAGGGCGAAAATCCGTACAGGTTAATATTTTCTTTGTAATCTTCAATGTACGATAGTATGACTTGTAAAGCTCTCTCGTCAGTGGGTAGAGTAGGGTACATGTTCTCCACATCAAGGGATGCTTGGAAACTGACACTACTGGTTACGGTGATGTTGTCAGGATAATATATAAGTGTTGCGGAGCTTAGTGAGAAAATCTTTTGTACTTTTGACTCGGTTTGGGAGGAGCTGATTAATTTGTATCAGTACTTTGCTCACTACCATGTCGAGTTTTTCTATAGCACTGTTGTTGATAGGTTGTACTACTCAAACTTTGGTGTTGGGAAAGCTGGGCTTGTGATCCTTAGCCATTGGGTAGAGTTCTGGGGCCGACGAGTAGTTGCTTAGAACGTGTTTGATCTATTTGATCTGTCAAAGAAATTCTATAGGTCGAACATAAGTGTATAAATATATTCATGACAAGAAGCTCAATTGATGTTCTGAACTGATAGCAAATGGTAAAATAGCTGTAGGTTTATAACCTACCGTACCAGGACGCGCGCCGAGTTGGACTCGTCGACGGTCGAATATATTTGGAACAAATATTTTACGAGTATCACCCGTAAATAAAATAGGTACCAAGAAGATTTAATGGTCCCATTTTCAGTAAAACATTTTATTTGTTTTGTAGAATGGCCTATTCTTGTGTCATACTTGACTTAGAAAACGCTGTCTTCTTTCGTTCCTGTGATTGTCTACTAGATATATATGATATTTGTAGCGCGATGCGTTACTGTGCCGCGCCGCGCACTCAATGAGGCTTCTCACAGATCGGCGAGATGCGCTACTGTGCCGCGCCGAGCTGAGATGAATTGACATCGTCAATTAAATATGATATATTTGATCATTACTGATAAATAGAGTTGTGATATTTATAGACTTATCAAGCCTTTTTTATGATCCAAAATGGCAATATCTAGTATCTGAAAACCATAAATATTGACTTATCAAGTTGTGCATCTTGCCGATCTAGCGAAGGTGGTTGCGAGAAGAAATGTTTAATAAATGCACGGCGTAGGAATGTACAAGCAAAAACAAAAAAGGATACCGTATTGTACCAATTGTTTGTAACTTACCAGCAGTCAAAGCACGCGCACCGTGAGTTTAAGGAACAAATATTTTACTAGTCACTAGTATCTGCACCCGTTATAACATATAATGGTTAAGTTCTTGCTCTAGTCAGAAGTACGCGTAGACTCGTCACTCATGGCTAGTTGAAGTCTTATATTGAGTAAGCTAACCATATATGAGTAAGCTAACCATGAATTGTTGTTGAAATTGGATCAAGGGAAGGTTACTCAATGAGCATTTGTTTCAAGAATTTTGTACTGGCCAAGATTAGCGCTAAAAAACCACCCTACAGTCGGCACGCGCGGCTTACTGTCGATGGCGCACTACCTCATATACGATATAGGGCAGGGCGATTCCTGATGAGTTACACACGTACTATATTACTCTTGCCTCACGTTGTAGGCCCGCCGCGCGGATGTAACGTGACTTTCACTCCAATAAGTGAAACACGAAATGATTGATACATGTTTCGTATCCAAATATCGCGCGCGAAAAGTGGCTTGCAACGTATGTCAACAGTCAACGAAATGACAATGGTATGGGGTCACGACGTGATACAAAATCAATCTACACTCGATCATCGAGATTTTTCTAAAAGGGCCCCAGACAGCTGAAACCAACCTGCATCGATGTATTTTTGAACACTGATTCCGAATCACCCCGGCCCACATGATATAGAGTTAAACATCAAAATGCTCCCCTGGTGAGATATTTGCTCTAACCAAACCGGCTTTGCGCTTGCAGTAACAAACACGTCACGTATCACGTATACTGACGCGATATATTAATAGCCCGCATGGCCAATGCCATTGGCAATGGTTAGGTGAAGCGAGATATCGGCTGAAATTAGTTATTTATCGTGTCTGTCAAGGGTGGAACTGTGAATTATGAATATGTGATTGCCAGTATAGTCACGGTGTCCGTGTATCAAACTAAGCTAATAATATGAGAAAAATCAGCTTGAAATTTCCTCAGAGTTCAGTGCCCTATAAAAGATGTGGTCCAGAATTACACCCAAAACGTCTAATCAAAATAAAACATTTTTATTATTAATTGTAGAAACAAAATCTAAATAAATATAAGATAAAGTTACGTAAAAACTGACAGAAAGCTTAATAATTTAGATAAGCGTAAAAACCCTTCATATTTTCAGTATATTGAGCATAGATGATTGTCAATGTAATTTTATTGACCAAACAAAGAAAATCATATTGTAAAAATTTTCTCAGCAGGTGTTGGATAGGAGGAACCAGTTTCGCATTCATTTTGATTAAACAGATGACCAACTTAACACGCATCTATATAAATGTGCGTATTAAACAACAATGTTATTATAGCAATAATCAACATAAACCGAAACGTATTAACAAAGCATATCAATATTTACATTTTATAATTTTCTCTACTAACCTATCTGATGAATCGAAAGCATGATCAAACTTACAACTAGAGTTAACGAAAATAGAAAATCACCTAAGTTTTTTATTGAAAAATTTGTGATTTTCGGGAGCAAAAGAAGAGTTCAGAGCTATTCTTATTTTTCCTATTAATTGACGAGCAGAGGACAGGTCACACAATGGTCACATGGGTCACAGGTAAATGAGGATCTGATCATTAGAGATGTTTGAGGAGGTCTCTAGCTACCAGCATGTGCATAACCTGGAATAGTTTTAATAGTTCTGGGATAGTATCGGGTAGTTAATTAAAGGTATCATGGTAAACAATAACATATAATTAAGGCAAATCATGTAATGTAACGATTTATTATAAATCGTTACACTTACATGATTTGCCTTAATTATATAAAGTGGATTTATAGAATTACATTTAAACGATTCCAGACTTCGTTGGATCTGGAGTCTCCAATACAATTGCAATTTCTTAAATTTGTTTGCTGAATCTGTCGATGTAGCTCGACTTATCTCCCAGAAAAAAAGGTTCATAACTCGGAAGTCTAACCTTGATCCAAACTTTATAATAAAGTTTTGATCAATGTTAGACTTCCAGGTTAAGTAGTTGGTAGCATCGTGAATAAACTGAGTTAATTCACGATGCTACCAACTATACTATACTACTTAAATATTACAATTTCTCTTACCTCGCTTGTTCCTTCCAATATTCTGTGTACGCGAGAGTCCCTCCAGAACTGCTGAACCGGATAGGACTTCAGGTAACCGTAACCACCGTGCAGCTGTAAAGCGTCATCACACACCTGCAGGTATTAGGAATGTAATTCAGGTAATGTAGGTAATGTAGGTAATGTAGGTAATGTAGGTAATGTAGGTAATGAATGCAATGAAGGTAAGAGAGAAAGTTCCGAAATATAAGAGGTATAGGGAATATTAATATTATATAGGGAATGTAGGGAAAGTAGGGATGTAGAGATGATAACGTTATTACGAGGTTTAGGGTATCACATGATTAGTAATAATACAAGTAGGATTTGGGAATGTCGAGGAAACTAAAACTCAACGTTTGTCCACTTTGACGTAGACGGTGTTTGAGAATGTAAATAACCTTGAAAAGTCGCTCTGTAGCGTACAGCTTACACATAGCGCACAAGGCTACTGCGTTGGGTTCCTTCGAGTCCAGAGATTTAGCTGCCTGGGATAGAGTCGAATAAAAACAAACAATCGATGAACTAAAAGGGTTATTTGAGAAAGCTATGACGATGTAATAATCGCTATTTAGCAAAAGTTGAGTGTAGTTCCCCGCACCTGTCTAACAATGAGCCGCGCGGTGGTGAGCTCGGTGGCCATCTCCGCCAGTTTAAACTGAACGTGTTGGTTAGCGTTGAGAGGCTGGTTGAAAGCTTTGCGGTCGTTAGTGTAGTGTAAAACATCTTCTAAACACTGCTGTGCTGCACCTGTAATATGCAGTTAGAGCGAGAGACTCCAGCTAAACACTGCTGTGCTGCACCTGTAATATGCAGTTAGAGCGAGAGACTCCAGCTGAAAGTTACGAAACCTTAAAATCTTTCAATCTTAAAATTTCTCATATTTTAAAATAATAAAACAAACATTGACCCGAAAAAGCTTAAACTATACGGGCACCAACTTACCTAGACTGCAGGAAGCAATGTTGATGCGGCCCCCGTTTAAACCATGCATAGCAAGGTTGAAGCCCTGTCCCTCCGCTCCCAGTAAGTTTTCACACGGTACCTCTACATCGTCAAAGTTTACAACACAAGTTGGCTGATTGTTCCACCCTATCTGGGGAATATCTTTATTTGATCTATAATTATTATAAATTATTAAAAATAATTAATCATTATATTAGGGGTCGTTCAAATATTATGTAATCAATTTTTTGATCGTAACCAGCGTAACCAGTTTTAGACATAGCTATTGTGTCAAAATTACACTAGCGTAATCATTTGGAAAGATATTTTACTAATGCATTATGATTTTCTGTTGTAGTACCTTCTTTTCTTTCTGTCCGTATGATATCCCAGGAGTGGCCGTGTCAATTATAAGAGCTGACACCCCTGAAGAGACATGTTCATTGTTCAGGAATTAGCACACATTCCAGCAGGTAAACATAGATTAGCACTCTGACCAATTAAGTTATTAATATTGGAAAAGAATTAAATTTTGAAATACATTTTCGGATTTCATATGATGAGCGCCAACTTTTCTTAATAGTTTTTATTTCAAGAGTATTTGCTTTTTGAGCAGATGTCCTGATCACGAGATATCATACTGGTAAACTGCTCCGCTCTAGATCAGGTTGCGCGGCTCCGATCAACTAACATGTGAAATCTGGAGCCGCGCAATCGTATCTGCACTAAAAAGTGGTCGAGTTCTGTCTTACCTTTAGGGCCTTTCCCTCCCGTCCTCAGCATGACAACAAGCAAATCTGTAACTCCAGCACCCGATATAAACGCTTTTGATCCGTTCACTATGTATTTGGATCCTGTAGAATGTAGATATCAATATCAGTCAATTGTAGCATTACCATCGCTACCAGCTTTGCAACTTTCAGACGTTGCTCACTTTAATACTTAGAATTTGCGAAGCGTGCAATTAAACTCGAAAAAAAAGAAGAAATTAAATTTCCAAGAGGAAATAAACCGTCAGTAGTAGCTCGAGTAACCAGAGCAGCAGCATCACTCCCGGAACCCGGTTCAGTGAGACAGTAAGACGCTAACTTCTCCATTGTACTCAACTCAGAACAGTATTTCGCTCTCTGATCCTCCGTTCCGAATGTGTCTATCATAGCGTTCACCATACTGCGCAATTTTAGTTTTAGTTGCGCTTGATTAATAATGAATTTGGTTTGCGAAATAAAGTTTATTAGTAGTAATAACGTGAATAACGTAAATAAATTTAAGAAAAGGACTTGATTTGATTATTAAAAGGTTGATCAACATATCGATATGAAATACTGCCATGAGTAGAAATAGAAAATCTTATGTACAATGTACAATGTACATGGTTACTTTAATGAACCATAACGTTTGTATAATTAGCTCATAGCTTAGCAGCGAAGTAGAAGTTTTAGCGCATGACCCCGAATAACTAAAGCCTTTAAATATATTAGCCTATATTGATTGTATAAATATAATATCTACTTTAAGTCCTACTTGTGAATAGTGATGTAAGAAGCAGTGGTCACACACCCCTGACTAAGGGCCTCAAATATTACACTCCCGTCGTGTCTTGGTAACGATAATCCTGGAAGGATTGAAATACTTTAAAAGTTTAAAAAAGGGGAAGGATTCTACCCATTACTCCTGAAAAAAGTGATCGAACAGAAACAATTAATCAGGTAATTATAGCCTACAGTTACTACTACAGTTACTACCACAGTTACTACCACAGTTACTACTACAGTTACTACTACAGTTAGCAGTATATATAGCCTACAGTATTAATCATCTACCCAGGTTATATTATTATTATAATTCAGCCGCAGAAAAACTGGCCTCTATATTTTGAGATTTTAGTGTAATCTTCAATTAAAATTCCAAGCTTTGCTACTCCTCTCCAGTGTCTTAGTAAGACTCTTAGTAAGACTCTTAGTAATTGACTCTTACCTCCATAGTCGGGAGAAACAAACAGTCCACCAAATCCTAACTCAGCGCTCTTCTTGATAGTTTCTATCGGGAACTCTTCCTGAATAGTGTACAGTTTTTGGTTCAGTTCTTAATCGGTTTCTGAGATGCTTGATTTTCTAATTACTGTTAAACATCGCCCAGTCAGCGTTCATTGAGGCGACAGGAAAAATTAAGAAATCAGATTCAGTCCTAGGTTTATTCATCATTATATTAGTCTACTGATACATCGAAAGGACACTTGCTTTTAAATGTAGAATTCTCCAGCTGAGAGGATTAGAGTTAAGATATAACGGGTCCTAGGGCACAAGAAAGGGTTTCCTGGAATCTGGATACTAAAGAATGGGCTGTTACGTGTCACGTGGGCTCCAGAAAAAACGGGACAAAGTTGCACCTTTGAGCTAACCAAGCTGTGCAACACATCCATTAGAGGTTAATAGTTAAAGTGCACACTGCACACTGCACAGCTTTTAATTAATATTTATAATTGATAATAAATATTGTAGGTGAGTTCTCAGTAAGATCAGGATATCCAACACAACTCTACAAAAATCTCCAGTAACCTTACAAGGATGATCCCTAGTTGGGCTAGGAAACAAAGAATTCAAGTAAAAAAGAGGAGTAATTTGCCACTCATCGTCAATACCAGGAGGCTCCTATCACAGGACGCAAGTGAGAAGGAAAACCTACCCTGCTTCCCACGTAACAGAGCCTGGTGTTCAGGGCCAACTGGTCCTGCAAACACCCAAACTGTAAGTCACGTGGGCGTCAGATGTAAGTCACGTGGGCGTCACGTGGACTCATGTGATCCAGGGTGAGCTGTTCTATTGGAGGGAGGATGAGAAGTGATGGTGTGGAGACACGTGTCAGCTGTATTCGTGGTCTGTAACTGTTGGACCAGCGCGTGGCAGGCCTGTTTTGGTGGGTGTGTTGGGTTTCTTCTGACAGAGAATGACGTTTGACAGGAATACCAAGTATCCGCCGTGGATTATCCCAGAAAATAGATATCGAGGGAGGAAAGGGAAATATACACTATGTCGTCTCTTGAGATTCTGAGAATGTCCTGTCTGGAACAGATTCAGCACAGGGAAACAGATGCGAGATCCTTTTTAAAAAAGAAAACGGGAGGCCCCAGTGGAGCTAGGGTAGGGATATGGTTGGGGTTAAGATCAAGGTAAGGGTCCTAGGGTACAAGGTACTGGGGGCATGAACCCACTTGCTAATAAACTGACAGTTAATTAACTAATTATCTAATCACGTGACATCTACTAACCGAAAGGTCCCAAATCTGCATGTAAGGAGCTAGTTCTGTCTTGGCAAAGTTCAGGGCGGCATCTCTGTATTCGATCTGGTCGGTTGTCAAGCCAATGTTCGCTGAAATTAGGATTTGAGTTAGAAAAGTTTCAGTCAAAAATGTTTTCATCAGTGCTGGTTAGAGACAGGAAATAATTTACATGTGCAATTTTTGATTGATTACAGAAATCGACGATATCAGTGATGACGGTAACCGTTATAATCTATGATTTATTGAGATGCTTTGGCAATGTAAATTTGGGTAAAGTTTTCAAAAGATACGATGAAAAATTTGAAACATCACGAAATATTATACGTGAAATAATACTAAAATTAAGAGATTATGTTGTTGTATTATTATTAAATCTTTGGAAAGCCTATCATAAGTCAACAGATATCAGTACGTCCATCATAGGCTGACCATAAAAATTCTGACAAAACTGTCATCTCCATATCACACTTGTTAGTCTAGCATTTGGAGTCGGCCCTCAAATAATTACAAGAAAACGAGTATCTGCGCTATATACCTCTATATAATCATAAAACTGCAGAGAAATAAACGGCGAGTCACGTGATTGAAACACTCACGGTCTATACAGGACGAGCTGATCCCACGTGCTTTAGCGAGCTGCTGAAGAGTGGGTCTGATGCACCTCCGCACACAGAACATTCTTTCAGCTAGAGAGTTAATAAAATTAGAAGGTTATTAACTTAATATTAACTTAACAACTTTCAAAAATTTCAATTCAATCAGGAATCAATAATTTCTTGAAATATGAGAGACGACACATTTTCATTGTATCAAAACTAAAATTTAATAAATTAGTATAAATTATAAACAAATCCGAATACCACTAACGCGTTAGTGGTATTCGGATAACGATACATGAAGTGTTGTATATATTAGTAGGCCTCCAGGAGAATCTCATTGTTCCTACTAAAGTTAATCCTAATCTTGATTGCAATCACGCTCTTATCATCTCAACAGAGTAAACATTAATTTATACTGTGCTGGGAAGTTCTGATTTCTGGGACCACAGAGATCTAGCCTTGCAATGCTTGGAGTTAAATGCGATGACGTCACATGTATCTCTGATGACGTCACATGTTTATTTGGTGACGTAACATGTTAATCTGGTGACGTCAAGTCATCACGTGACACTCTAGTCCTCGTCCACATCGTGCGCCCTCTTTCCGTACGCTTCCACCTCTAGAACGGAACGTGTTCCCTTAATCGTCTTCAGGTTTTGGGTAAAGAGGAACTCTGACATGTACGCTGGTCTCGTACGGGTATCTTCCAGCCTGTGAGAGTTTTGGTAATTTATATAAATAACCATTTAGATTACTTAATAAAATTACTTACTTAGATTACTTAATTATATTACTTAGTTAGTCTGCTAAATTATATTGTAAAACCTCCATCGTGAATATGGGATTAAGTTAGTTTATTCGATGGAAATAATTGTCATATAATATTTAAAAAAATAAAAATAATGTGTTCATATTTGTGCGCTTTTGTTAAATTTATTGCTCTGCTAAAATCTGATGAAATAACTCTTCATCAGGATTTAGGGATCGTTCACAATTAAGCCATTTTAGACCAACTCCCCGTCCATAATAACTTTTACAGCGTGACATGGTGAAATGACGTATCTTAACACGAGGTCGGCTCTTATCTTGTTACTTCTTAATAAAGTAAGAAATAAGGAAACTTAAATAGCATGAAATTGTCTAAAATAGAACGCGAATGTTAACCCATTAGTCCCAGACCGCAAGACACTGCAGAGAAGATCTGACCTGTTAACCTAGTAACTAGTAAGTGACCACGTGATGACCATATAAGGAGTATAGTAAGTAATAAAGTTGAGGGGACCCAGAATACCCAGAAAATAAGACGCGGATGTGACCGGAACCTAATAAAGTACAAGGTACCCAAAATACCCTGAAATTATTGTAAATAGGACGCGGATGGTACCCCATTAGTCCTATATTTCTGATATCATCACTGGATTTACTGCAGCTCTTTTTAATGCAGGATGAGCTAGACAGGCCCAGGAAGTCTATTAATGTTACACCAGGAGGTACAACCCTCATTTACTGCGGAGTTTGGGGAAAGGAAACACCCGCGGTAAATCAGGGTTCGCGGTAAATTGTTTTACTGTGCGAAATTATTAACAAGGAACGATACGACAGTTTGTCCAAAAGGTGACGGAATCACTTAGGACGTGATTTATCCTTGAAAACGTCATCAGATTTATCTTGTTTAAGCTAGGCCATCACTGTTTAACATTTTGGATGTGGTCACATAACGTGTTGATAAACATAAGATAATTTTAGAATTTCTGAACTCTCTCATAGTAAGTTTTGTGAGGTCACACTTGAAACACCCTGCTTGAACGATTTAACTTTCATCTCAAATGTTGAAATAACTAACCGCAGACACTAACCTAAAGTTCTGACCGGATCCTAATAAGGAAATACTCTGAAATTGTCTTAAATAAGGCGCTGATGTTACTAGAATTTTACCAATCTAAAACGGGAAGTCGAATCCATTTTGATATGTTAGGTGGATGGTGGATGACGGTTCAGTCTATAATTAGGGTATCTCTAATTATCTAACCGACTCTGTGGAAAATATGGGACACCGAGTCTAATAAGTACAAGGAAACCAAAATGCCTTGATGCATCAAGGATCCAAGACTAATGGGGTGTTATCCTCGTCCTATTTTGAACAAATTCAGGGTATGTTGGTTTCCTTATTTCGTACTTTAATAGACTCCGAACCTATTTAGATATTTAAACAATATTAGGTGGCGGGCACAAGGTGGCGGGTGCAAGACGGTTCATATATAATAAGGATATTAGAAACCTACGTTTACATTACCCTACATTAGCGTATGACCTCCAAAAAAGTGCGAAAGAAATGTGCCAGGCAGCAGTTACAGCTGGAAACTCAAGATTAAGTTTTAGGATTGACATTTTACGTTATATATTATATATTATTTCAAGTACGTACTGGGAAAAAGCTCTTATTTTCTCCGTAATTTCCAAAGGTCCCTCGGTGAAAATTTCATCGGACACAAAAATATCGTGAACTATTGAACTAACTAAAGTAAACTATTGAACTAAGCTATCGATGGGTATAAATTCAATTGAAAAAGCTGTAATTGAAGAAATAAAACATATCCCATATATTACCGTACTCGACTTGCACATTCAACAGCATTTCATAGTGTCAAGTTATGTAGTGTTAAGATGAGGACCCTCGTCCCTCATTTTTAATTTTACCAGCTGTTTTGCTTTGGGATCATTTATTTGAACTCTAACTTTTTAAAGGGTTAGGAGACAGAACCAAATCGCGTCTCCGAAGATTTCTAGATTTAGAGTTACACTCTTCACAGAATTTGTTAATAAAATTCAGACTTTCTGTAGAGGAAAGTGAAAAACAGAACAATAAAGGTTGACAGCCGGTAGGATGGTGGGACGGTGTGAAGGAGGGGGAGGAGGAGGAGGAGGAGTGTTATCAGGTACAGAGTCAATATGGAAGACAATCAACAAAACAGCTCCAGATCAGCTGTCTGTGAAAAAGGTACAGATTTTAAATTACCAGCTTTTCAAAAACTTGGATGATCCGAGAGCCCGGTTCAAAGATTTCAACTTAAATATTTTGTCCGTTTTTAAATGTCAACTCATCAGGTAGACCTGCAGTTGGAAATAAACAGAAAAGAGCACAGAACAGATGAATACGAACTCGACAAACTGATCGTGCGGCGAGGCCAGCATTTCCAGATCCTAATCGAGCTAGATCGTCCTTACCGACCAGACTCAGACTCCCTTGAAATCTACCTGATGTACGGTCCCAAGCCTCGAGTCAGCAAAGGAACCCTTGTAAAACTCTGTCCAAATAAAAGTGACATCAACAACAGCAAGTACTGGGCCATGAAGTTGGACGCGGGACCTGAAGAGGGTTTCCTCCTTGTCCACGTAATGCCGGGTGTTACTTCCATGGTGGGCGAGTTTAAGATAGCAGTGGACTGTTTCACGGGCAAGCAGCTCACCAGGTTCCAGGTAATGGATCCGGTGGTGGTGCTGTTCAACGCATGGTGTCCTGAAGATCAGGTGAGGAATCAGGGTTAGGAGTCCGGTGGGGTGAGGTGGTAGGTCAGGTAGAGAAGGATCAAGTTCTATATAATCTGACAATTATACACACATTGAAGAAACCACCTCCCACCAGGTGTACATAAAGGACGAGAAGGAGAGAGAGGAGTACGTTCTGAATGATATAGGACGAGTCTACGTCGGCTCCATCACCAACGTGATAGGTAGGCCCTGGATATTCGGCCAGTTTGACGACACCATGCTCCTAGCTGCCCTATACCTCCTGGAGTCTGGAGACTGGTTATCAGACCAGAACAAGGGGGATGTTGTGGAGGTTACCCGTGCCTTTACCGCCCTGGTGAACAGCTGTGACGACGACAATGGAATTCTGTGTGGCAATTGGAGCGGGGATTACTCAGGTGGAGCACCTCCTACCAGCTGGACAGGCAGTGTGGACGTTGTGGAGACGTTTTGGAAGAACAGGCCTCAACAAGTTAAGTTCGGGCAGTGTTGGGTGTTTTCGGGTGTTCTGACCTCCTTGTATCGGACTCTTGGTATTCCGGCGAGATCAGTTACAAACTTCTGCTCTGGTCACGACCACGATGATAGTAATACGATTGACATCCACTTCGACCATCTAGGGAACAGTTTATCTGATTATGATGACAGCACGTGGAACTTCCACGTGTGGGTTGAAGCATGGTTTACGCGCAGGGATCTACGCAATGCCAAGTACGATGGGTGGCAGGCGCTTGATGCTACACCCCAAGAAGAGAGTTCAGGTAGGATGCAGTGTGGACCTGCTCCTCTCACTGCGGTCAAAGCGGGGGACACTAACACCGGCTATGATGTAGGCTTCGTGTTTTCAGAGGTTAACGGCGATATCGTGTACTGGATAGTCGAAGAGGACGGAGATATGAGGATAGCTAGAGTTGATACAAGTGGGGTTGGGAAACTTGTTGCTACAAAGGCAGTTGGAAGCTCCGAAATGGTGGACATCAAACATTTGTATAAAGCAGAAGAAGGGTCTGCAAACGAGCGCGAAGCAGTAGGCGCAGCAGCCTGCCAAGGCGCGCGCGGAGCTTATCTTGAGGATTACTACAAGAACAACACTCTGAGCGAGGAGATGAAGTTTTCAGTGAATATAGGAGAAGTGAAGTTGGGGGAAAGTGTAGTGATTCAGCTGGAGGCTAAGAATACTTCCTCGGAGCCGAAGACAGTGAAAGTGGTAATGACGTGCAGTAGTTGTACTTATATGGGCAGGGTTTTGGGGGAGCTGAAGAGAATGCAGCATACCCTCTTTGTACCAGGTTATTCTAAATTTGTTTTTAACTTCTAGATCAATTTAGTGGTAGAATTTCAAAAGAAGCGGATTTAGTAATCCCTATTTATTCCCTGGTTCTTTCACTATAAAACAACCGATGCATAATGGCAAACGAGTTCATGATCTGGTCAACTCCAGACCAAATTAAAACCCAGGAGTCTAATTTCCCACTAAATTTGACTAAATTTCACTAAATTTGACTATAATATCCCAGAGCGTGACACAAGTAAATGTGCGCTGTACCTCTCCCCCGAAGACTACGTTTGCAAGATGACCCCAGACGGGGCTGTAAAGGTATCTGTGAGAGCCGCGGTGGACGGAACCAACCAAATCTACACAGATTCAGAACAATTTGACTTCAAGAAACCCAGCATCATCCTAACCCCCTCAAGTAAGCAGGTCCAGAAGGGACACAGCATAAAACTGAAGATTCAGGTGCAAAACCCTCTGAAGGTGCCCCTCAAGAATGGGAGGATTAGGTTGGAGATGGCCAGGAACTTGAGGCCGGTGAACGTGAACTGCGGGACAGTGAAACCTAAACATAAGATGTCAGCTACGGTGACAGTCCAGGCTAAGAAAGTGGGAGAGAGACAGTTTGTAGCTACCTTTAATTCCAATGAACTGATGGATATTCAGGGGGAATGTACTGTTAATGTGTTCGAATAGTAAAAATGTTCCAAAAAGTGATTACGTAATATGTGAATTGTGAACGACCCCTAACTAAACGTAATATTTGAATTGTGAACGAGGGGAAATTAATACATCCGCACAATAGCTAACTATAAATTAAGGGAACAGTGTTAAAGGCTACTGAAAATGTTTTAACATTACTAATTACTAGTTAAAATTAGTAATTATTAGTCCCCCATGGACTGAACGAATGAAACTTTACGTTGGGAAATTACCGTTAGTTTTATTTTCTCGTTGCTAATGGTTCAAATAATTAATTAGTAATAAACAGATATAATAAATATAAGTAATAAAGATCCGGAATTGCAGAAGTTATGAAGATCCGGAATTGCAGAAGTAATAAAGATCCGGAATTGCAGAAGTAATAAAGATCCGGAATTGCAGAAGTAATAAAGATCCGGAATTGCAGAAGTAATTAAGATCCGGAATTGCAGAAGTAATAAAGATCCGGAATTGCAAAAGTAATAAAGATCCGGAATTGTAGAAGTAATAAAGATCCGGAATTGCAGAATTAATAAAGAACCGGAATTGCAGAAGTGAGAAAAATCCGGAATTGCAGAAGTAATAAAGATCCGGAATTGTAGAAGTAAAAAAGATCCGGAATTGCAGAAGTAATAAATTCCCGGAATTGCAGAAGTGATAAAAATCCGGAATTGCAGAAGTAATAAAGATCCGGAATTGCAGAAGTACCTGTAGCTGGATGGTTTTTCACTGCGGATCCACACTTTTCCATTATAATGGTCCGTGTATCCTTCTGCTCTGGATAAAAACTTTAAAACCTGAAGTGGAGAGAACCTTGATTTAACTTTCTAAAGTAAAAAGTACCACTACAAATTAAGTTCCTCTGATGTGTCACCCTCTAATTAATAACTTAACCGACCTGATAACTTAACTAACCTGATAAGGTTTACCATGGTATTGAACACCGTGTGGTGGAGTCCTGGGGTTTATCATCACCTCATCTCCGATATAACACTCCTGTCCTGGATCGTGTACGTGTATCTGATAATATCATCATCTTATTTATTAGGAATTTTGAAATATCTAAAACCAGCAAATACTAGCAGGTTTAGTACTAGTAGTTAGAACTAATTTGCCACAAGCATTTCTGTGTAGGAATGTGATGTGCATAGTCCCAGGCACCACCCAAAGAGTTGAAATGGTAGATCTGATGGGCACACCTAAAGATATATTATTTTCGGCACCTACGAACAAACTTTTAAAATGTATTTGCGCCATTAGGAAAGCACTCAGAAGCTCAACTATATAAAAGATTTAGTATCAAAACCATTAACAAATCTTAGAGCGGAAGAGTCACATCTCCAAATCTGTAAACCCACATTAAAGGGCACTTATTATTTAAACGTTGTAAAGAACAGCCCAGCCAGCAAACCTTAGGAGTCGTCCACGTGATTTTCTGGGCTGCCCAGTAATACAGTGCAGGGGCTTAAAATGGGTGGATCCAACGATTTTAGCTTACCAGGATAATTATTATAATCTTACTTTTTAAAACTTACTACGCCCTAACTTTTAAAAATGTCTTTAACCCTAAATAAGATTAAAGAGAAATCATGACATGGAAAAAAGTAGCACTTTATAGGCACTTTGTAGCATTTTATTGTTAGAGATACGATTGTGTTACAGTTTAAACTTTTTAGAAGCAAGATCATAAAAATAAAATAGAATTAAACTCATAATCAGTGAGTATTGATTACAAGGTGACGTATACGAGCTAAATCCGGAGAAGCTTATACAGTTTCATGTGTAATTATTAAAGCTTCTACAGAATCACAGAGAATCGTTACCCAGTTACTAGTTAAAATTCACATTGCATGTTTTTACTGAAGTAACGAGTTCTTCAGAGCAGTTATCTAATTGATGGACTGGATAAACGAATCAAGTACCCTTTGTGGCCTGGATCACCAGAGATCCAAGATATAATCTTGCAATCAAGGAATGTTACAGGTAAGTACTAAGTAATTCTACCGAAAGTAAACGTTTCACATACCCAGTGCTTGTTCTGGTAAACTCTGTGTATTTCAGGGTGTATTTCCGTATTCTCAACCTGTCAAATTATTAATTCATTGATAAATCATTAATTAAATATTAACCAAATATACTTTACAACATTCAGACTCTCCCGATAAAAAACAAACAGCGATACTTAATTTATAGGTAGGTGAGATCAATCTCCGCATTTTTAGCACTTCGAGTGAAATATAAACGAAAATTTAAAACCACATGCACATGACGTAATAACTACGTGACGTAATAACTACGTGACGTAATAACCACGTAATAACCACGTGATAACCACGTGATCCCTCACCTGAACTACACAAGTACGAGGATACTCCGTTCTGACTACTCGACCCAAGTACACATTCAGTTTCGGACTCTCTTTAATAGCTAGTGGAAAAACCTGCGATAATAAAGGATATTAGGCAAAACTTGAGGAAAAAGTTGTTGTGGAATGTGGATAATCTTACTTTACAGACCAGCTTTTAATAAAAAATCAGTTCCTTGACTTTACCTCACGATTTTTTAGAACTTCAGAACTCCTTAATTAATAAACAACTAATAATTAATGTACATAATGAGTATCAGATGATATCATTGGTTAACAAATCCCTCTGAATTAAAGCTTTAGGTAGACAAAATGTCTGCTGCCCAAAATATCTGATTTACCTTTGGTGCGTCTCGTAACCGGGGGTTCTTGTCAGGGTTGAAGAAAGATGGATATTTGTGAGAGATGAGCCATTTCATTCGGGAGCGAGGAATTGTCATGGCTAAAAAGTAGAAGTGGGAGTTTTATTCAATTCTGCGTGTGGTCACAAGTTTTGAAGTTTCAAAATATTCGCTTAATTTTTATAAGTGAAACACGCTCAAACAAATCAGACGTTTTTTCGAAATCTATTATTTTATGATAATTGGGCGTCGGAGGAAAAGGTATTGTATTTTAATGGTACTTAACAACGTCTCATAGTCTGATCTTCTGTATTGTGTAGTTTGAATCCGTTTAAACTTGGATTTATAAGTAAGTGATGAAGGACCGTGAAAATGGAATTCAGTTTTGCAAACCAAACACTAGCATACAAAACACCTTATTATATACCATACTTGGAATTCTTCAAGAGCCAATAACCTGGGGGTTGCAGTATCCAAGCTACCCAAGCTCAGTCATACCTTAAAAATCAGCTACATCTAAACTAATAGTTGTATTTTCATCAAAGATTTTGGTGATTTTGCGGCCTCATGATCGGTTGATTGGACAGCCCGCCATACTAAATGGGGACATGACGAAACTGCCACATCATCCAAATAAGGACTTATGACAATCCAAGCTAGGGATATGTATACGGGGGTCTTTCAAAACGGACCGGACATTTTCCGTTAACTTTTTCTTGCAATTATGACATGTTAATTAAGTCTCACATACGGACACGCGTTTTGGTCGGGGTGGGAATTAGAAAATAATTTTCAGCCCTGAGGATCGTGGTACGACTGCATTATCAGTATTATGTTGACGATCCCTCAGGGAAATTCCCATTACATATTTTCAAACCCCAAAAGATCTTCCCATTCAAAAACAATTCAAGAATCCCTAGACCTGTGAAGACTCAGAAGAATACGAAAAATACTAAACATGCCATGAAGCATACTGAACATGCCATGAAGGGCCGCCCAGAAATTTCATTCCAAATAGACCTCTCAACTTTCCATCCTCTATTTGGACTTGTGCATCACTGACGGCCAAATTGTGGAATTTCCCTGGACAATCCTACAGTCTTCTGTCTGTCCGCATAACATAGGCGGGCGTAAATGTCGTAAAAATGAGCAGCTCATTATTTAATATGACGGCTCTATAACCAGCCCTATCATCAATCATCGCGTACTTCATACATTCACTCTTACCATAAAAAGAGTTCCGCGAGTGCTTCATTTCATGATTTATCACTCTTACCATAATTGGAGTTATCGTCCAGCGGATACTGTAGGTTCAATTAGTGGGGCGGAGGCTGGGTGAGGAAACCGCAGAACGGGATACTGGAGGTATAGTGTCTCGTTAACGAGATATCGAGGAGAGAGGGCGTGAAACACCCGGAATAATAAATTCAATTTAAATACTTCTGGCATAATTGGCAGGAATTTATTGCGGAACAGTATGGGTATAGAGTGGTAGCAGCAGGGCTGGAGTGAGCTGCGGGAGACGAATTGTCTGTTAAGTAGTTGAAATGACGTCAGAGGTCGGTGAGGTGGAGAAAGGTTCTGTCTTATACTGCGATGAAAGGTTTGAAATTTCGTCAAAGATGTAGATTGTGCGTTGAATTGTCGAAAATAAGGGTTTAAGAAAAGAGAACAAAAAGAGCTGTGAGATGTATTGTTGTTATATTGTTGTCCCAATATATTCCGAGGCTGAGTGAAGTTTGTTTCCTATCCCCATATTTTAGAGGGCGAGGTGCTCTGCAGCGACAGGATCTGTCAGGACTGAGAAGTATGTAAATTAGGCGATAATGGAAAATTCTAGAGTAATTCTCGGTGTGGTTATCAGTATAATTATCATGAACACGTACTGGTGACGATTTCAAGTTCTTGTTTACCTCAAAGTGTCGTACAGAGAGAAAATTCAGCGTACTTTTGACTTTCAAAGTTGGGATTCTTTGCTCATTTAGGAAGTCGGCGCCGATTGAAGCTTAAATTAGCAACGCAGGGCTATTAACAATAATAATATTACCAATCCGTCCCTTGTTAATGTCTCATGTTGTGATTTATAATGGATGACGGAGCCTACCATTAATGAGTGCTTTACTAAGACGCATTCCCAGACACATTCCCGGTCACTTTCCGATCACATCTCATGCGCAATATGATGTAATCGATCCGTGAATTTATATTTAAATTAGTCCTTTGGATTTAGTTGAACTATGATGCATGCTCTTACGTAAATGAGCCTTTTCCTGGTCACCTCGGGCGGCTTCAAGCCCCAAAAATTAACTGGAAAAAAGAACACCGCTGGACTGATGTTACCTGGCATTCCTGGAACCTATTAGCGGAAGTATAACTATGGACATTAAGCCTCTTTGACTAAAGATCAACGGGGCTATTAAGTTATTTAACTGCCCTTACCCCTCGCGGGGGGTTAAATTAGCAAATTGCGCTTGACAACACGGAAGGCATTCCATAAATAGTTTTCGGAAAATATGGTGACACGCCAAGCATTCCTTAGCCAGTCGCATTCCTTAATTAGGCACGACGTCGCGCTATATGAATCATTTCTCGTCCAGCTCAAATCATTAACGTTGTTCCCAAACTGAATTGTTTTTGAAATCTCGCCAGTATCCAGCGACCAACTCGAACTTTAAAGACTAGCTCAACCACCACAAGCCAGGTAACCGGAACTCAAAATAATCTAGATAACGAACCCCACTTCTTCGCGATATGGTTCTACATCAGACACTCTTCTTGATCCCCCTACTCCTTGCTATCAGCCACTCTGCTCCCCTCAGGAGCTCCTCCAAGTACCAAATTCAAGATAATGAAGACTCCGAACCCTCTCTAAGCAGACACTCTAGGGAAACTCTAAGCAGAAGAAACTTTCCTTCCCAGGAAATCCTAGCAGAGCAGCAGAGCTTTGGCACAGTTCTAGGTCCTAACCCTGAAAGAGGGATCTTCTCAGAAACTCGACCAGTCCAACACAACCATGGCCTCGTTCTACAAAGACGATCAGCGGACAGGAGGATCCATCACAAGACGAAAGGAGCAGAGAAACGAAACAAAAACCACGATATTCCAACCAATAAACTGGGATTCTTCTACCATCCAGGCAAGAAAGGAAAGAGGAAGGGTTAAAAGACTTTAGGAAGTGTAGACTATTTGATGAGAAATTTTTTGTTGTTAAATAATATCATATGCTCGGTTGTTAGGTATTGTAAACTAGTGCGGCATGTATCAGATAGATTTTTGCGTTGTTGAAATTGATTGGACGATGTTAATTTAAGTCGCAGTTATGTTAAAGGGCGTTATTTAATGATAATAGAAACGTAGGACAAATAACAAACCCTTTTCGAGTTAGGTATGTATTTGCTTTGAGTTATTTTGATGTTTACAGATTATTTGTGAGTTATTTATTTATTATTAAAGTTGTTCGATTATTTAACTTTCAAGTAAAATATTAACTTGGATTTAAAATATATTTGTATCATTACTTGTATTCGCCCGATCTTAAGTTGCTGATAAATCTAAAATAATTAAAATTAAGTAAAAAATAAAAATATTACGTGAATAACAAGCGATCTTGGGAGGGCTTTTACGGGAAGGCTTTTAGGGAATGTTAAGTCTGCTTCTCATAAAATTCCAAGAATAAAGAAAATGTTCTCCTTCTAATATTCGAATCATCTCAGTTAAGAACCGATTTAGAAAAAAAAATCCGTTTAAGACTTCACCACAAAAGCCACTCTGACAAGAGCAATAAATTTGATATAAAAGCAACTGTAAGGGTAAAGCAATTAAAATAATATTTAAAGTGTCGGTGTGATGGATACATAATTGATAATATAATATCTGGTCTCTCCAACATAATTCGGAACTGATCGGGTCTTGTGTTTTTTTCTGCTGATGGCAATTACGAAATGACTTCTACAACCTCGAAGAACATCGAAACAGCTAATTGTTTACATCGAACAAAATCAAACAATCTGCCTCACAACCTATCTGTAGATACTGTCCTAACACAGTTAACTTAGTAAAGTAACAATCTGCCGTCACAACCCATCGGCCACCCGAACTCTAATCACAAGGAAATATCTCACAAACTTACTGAACCAACAATCTTCACAACCCATCTGCAGCCACGGCCCAAACTCCAAGCACAAGTAAACATCTCACAAACCTACTGATAAAAAGGAAGGTATTCTCTACCATGTGTTACCTATTATCATGTCTTATCGTACATTTTCCCCGTTGCAACTGTGAGATGTAAAGTTTTGTTTTGCTGCCGTCCCTTCGTCGGACCCACACTTCGCCCGTGTTGATTGCACTGATAGTTGCGCTGAAAGTAGAGAGTATTGTAATTATTATTTAGTGGAGAGTTGAGATTTGAGAAGCACCACGAAAACTTGCGCTGAAATTATATAATTTATATACAATTTACAGGGCGTATATATATTATATGCTTTTTGCTTGAATTGTCTGAATTGTGGAATGAGTAAAAGAATTTCTGTGATCTTCCATCTAGCATTCAGATCAAACACAATCGTAATTTTAGCAGATAACTTTATTGCAGTTTCCTTCAATCATTTTATCAATTTGTAATATTTACATCAATTCAATTCGGAGTATCGAGTTGGTTGTAAACCATATACGTTCCGACCATAGGGTTTTATCCTCTTCCATGATTTTATCCAAGTCCCAAAAATAACCTAGACCTAAAAAAATCCAGTTTTCTGTGTGTTCGCTTAATTCTCAGCTAATCGAATCTATGCTTATCACAAATCACATTCGATCTAAAATCTCAATCAATTTAACCAAAAAATATTTCAAATACTCGACACTTTAGTGACACAAGTGTTAGTGACCACAATTACAAGATTTATGTAGTTGGGCGCATGGACTATCTCAGAATCATTGATTGTTCAATTCAATTCTGTGGCATGCTTAGAATAGAAAGCTATTTTTGATCTGGACCAGGCTGAAAGAGATGGTGTGAAACTGTTGAAGTATCAATCTTAAGGAATGCTAGTTTCAAGGGAATGAGACATGAATTTATCTACATTTATGAATTAAGGTGGGATGAAAAGGTGAAATCATTCGATTTGCTAACCAAAAAAATTTCAACTGACGTACAAACTACAGTATCAAGGTTCATACTCGAAATTTCGCAGGTCGCCCAGATTATTCAAGCATGGCTTCCGTGGAAATAAAATGATTTGACACTTAAGTTGGCCCTAGATAAGTGGATTAGTGGTGTAACCGTGTAACGTAATCTCAAGTAGTTGAGGTAAGAGGAGCATACAAAACTTTGGATTCCTAGACTCGAGGTTTTCTTAAGAAGAGGATTGGATTGACAGTTCATTCACAAATTTAAAGGAGGACAAGGTCCCACAACAGATTACCATGAGGGGTGTGTCTGCTAATTAGCTACTTAATTGCTGATTAACAACAGTTTCCAGTAGGTCCAATGTGGAGTATTGTTGGCTGGAAGTTAAAGCGGATATTTTCTTTTCTCACGTCATTACGACATACCTACTGCCCAGTGGTCTGTTGTCGTGAGATTGCCATATCAGGAATGTGCAATCGAAGTATCATATATTTTGAATTGCCCTGGCTATGATTCTGAACATTCCTGGCTCAGGATCGTTCACTTACGAAAGCCAAAACATTATTTTAGATCATCTTTCCTTACATCAACGCGTATCTCCCCCTATCTTTAACCTAACACGATGGTTGCCCCCCCCCCTCCCTAATTTGGATCACAAACTCCACTTCTGTTTTCGCACCCGAACTTTTGAGAATTGTCGGAAGAATAACGAAGACATTGATCAAAAACGAAATCTTTAAAATGTACAGGTTTGAATTTGTCGAATTGAGCTGTGTCACAAATTCACAAAAACTCTGATTAAAATTATGTTTAAGTAAATGGATGATATTATAGCGAAGCAATTTCTGTCCAGATCCAGACAAAAATACACCTTGAACTATCAGTAACCACAAATGTGCGTTATTGCGGTGATTTATTGAAAAATAGTGTAATTTGCATACTTTTAAAAACCTGTGTCGAACTTTATGGCGATTGGCTTAGTTGTGTAACCAGAATCCTGGAAATTTAAGGCTTTCTCCCAAATTTCTAATCTTATTTCGACCAATTTATTTTGAGCAATTTCAGCGAGACAGTTTTGATAGATGGGATTTAAGAAACTAATTCATGCACAATTTTTCATTTTGATTCAGAACTGTGTCTCAAAGGACAATTTATTTGAGTTCAGGTACAGATTAAATGACACAACAATAGTTTTAAGACACAAGGAAAGTGAATCACAGATTTAACTACAGGGTGTTTAAAAAACGGCAGCCAACTGATTCGTGTAAATAACGGTGTGAGAATGTCATCACAGGGTATGACCTGGAGTCCGTGAACACATTGTCAGACCATTAGATCATTCCAGTACGTGTGACAGCCTCATGATGCTTTTTTAGGATTCATCTCGATGATTTGTATGCAATCGGCTTGTTCTTGGCAGTGGCGTAACTTAGGGCCCCGCAGACCCCGCTGTGCGGGGGGGCGCCGTATAAGGGGGGCGCAATTTTCCTGAATTTTAGGCCCTTTCACTGAAAAACGCCTTGTTTGTGTATTTCCCTGTCCAATTTAGCGTTCGGTCGACGCGAAAAAAATATTTGGGGTACCCTTTTTTGCTTCAGGGGGGCGCAAAAAGCCTTAGGGGGCGAGAAAAAAAGTACCCGACCTTTTTTTTTTTTTTTTTTTTTTTTTTTTTTTTAAGGGACACAAAAAATTTTAGGGGGGCGCTTTTTGTCACTGAGCGGGGGGGGGGGGGGGCGCCAAAAGGCAAAGTTACGCCACTGGTTCTTGGTCTCAAAGTGCTTAAAAACATCACCTTTGTCGTGCAGTGTGCAATTTATTGCGGGTTTCATGTGCTGACTTGTTGCTTGATTGGCTCTAACAGAGCTGCTAACTCTTTAGCATGAGTACCGGGCACCGTATCAGTTAACGGGGTGATCAGCCGACCCTACGAGCTGCCTAGAACCTGCAGCTGACTAGAACCTGCTGGCAGGGTGGATCTCGTGATCCTCACGTGAGCTAGAGCCTTGGAATTTTGAGAGTAAATTTGGTTTACAGGAACAGGATGTAATAATTTTAAACGGCAAAATGTGCTCAGCAGCGGCTTCACCAGCTCTTTAAGAAATTCAATCAGGGCACATCTGGCAGAAAAATGGATGGGCCAAATTAACAGGTTCCTGATGAAGATTTGTACTGAAATTTTCAGCACAGATCCTGGAGCATCATAACACAGGACTTAAGTAGTTTCAGGTTATAAGGTTAAATTTGAGGCGAATTATGAACGAAAGTTACTTGGTCGTCTTTTTTGGGACACATTACGTTCACACATTTGGCTGTAGTTCTGGTCTGCACAATTGCGCGCGCGCCACAAACTACCGTGCGCATGCTATAAAACGTTGTTTCATTGAAAAATAAGCGTTCGGATTTCGCGCTTACCTTCATAATTTGGGAAATCCATGATTTCAGGGACTACGTATTTGTATATTTTGCATAATTTCACGGAAATACGCTTGAGCCTTAGGTAATATTTGAAAACTTAAGGGGGGGGGGGCCAATGGATATTTTTTTGTGAAACTTGATTTCGAGATAGCAGTTGACCAACAAACTAAGACCAGTGACCGAACTTTTGAGGGGGTCCCGGACCCCAACCGCCAAACGGTGCCCGCAGGGCAGCCACGCCCATATTTGGTCCAAATTAGGCCCAATTTAGCCAAATACTCTGAACATGCCCAAAACCCAAATTTTAGGTGCTCTACTTGTAGCTAATGGTCTCTTGAAGTCGTATATGAAATTTCATCAAGATTGGACAAAAAATGACTGAGTTATGAGCCAAAAACCATATGCCCATATTTGGGCATACGCACCAAATTTGGTAGATTTCGTCCCATAAATTGGTCAAATATCAATATTTTTCACTGAAACTTACTTTATATGAAAGGTAAGCCTAAACTACATATTCTCTGTAAGTTATAGCTTTATATCTGTTTAAATGTGGATACTAAGGCGAAAAGACCACAAAAAATGAACTAAATTGCCCATATCTTGGTTCGCGATATTCGCGGAATTGATCTCATTAAAATTGTAACAACTCGATCAGTTTTCAAAATTTTTCCATGAAATTTTCGGAATCGACTTGAAATCGCATTTCCACCTTAGTTTGAGAACAGATTTTTGATTAAGGCCTCAAAAAAAATTTGGCGGCCAAATTCTGAATTTCTCCGGGAAAATTTTGGAATTTGGCCGCCAAATTTTTTTGGAGGCCTAAATCAAAAATCTGTTCTCAAACTAAGGTGGAAATGCGATTTCAAGTCGATTCCGAAAATTTCATGGAAAAATTTTGAAAACTGATCGAGTTGTTACAATTTTAATGAGATCAATTCCGCGAATATCGCGAACCAAGATATGGGCAATTTAGTTCATTTTTTGTGGTCTTTTCGCCTTAGTATCCACATTTAAACAGATATAAAGCTATAACTTACAGAGAATATGTAGTTTAGGCTTACCTTTCATATAAAGTAAGTTTCAGTGAAAAATATTGATATTTGACCAATTTATGGGACGAAATCTACCAAATTTGGTGCGTATGCCCAAATATGGGCATATGGTTTTTGGCTCATAACTCAGTCATTTTTTGTCCAATCTTGATGAAATTTCATATACGAGTTCAGGAGACCATTAGCTACAAGTAGAGCACCTAAAATTTGGGTTTTGGGCATGTTCAGGGTATTTGGCTAAATTGGGCCTAATTTGGACCAAATATGGGCGTGGCTGCCCCGCAGGCACCGTTTGGCGGTTAGGGTCCGGGACCCCCTCAAAAGTTCGGTCACTGGTCCTAGTTTGTTGGTCAACTGCTATCTCGAAATCAAGTTTCACAAAAAAATATCCATTGGCCCCCCCCCCTTAACGAGAGTACGAAAATAGTTGAAAATACAAAAGAAGAACTTACTACAATGGCGACGATCCAATCTTGTCGATATAAACTGAGGAGCCAATAGCGAACCAGTTCCCTTCGTAGTACAATTTGCCGTCCTCGAACTTTGCTTGTCTCATATCGTTACTGCTAACTGAATTAAGGTGCTCTCTGGTTCTTCGGCGTTCTTTCTTCAGATGCAGAATCTGTAAGGGGAGGATTGTATAGTAGAAAATAAGGGCTAAAAATAAAAAGATAAAAGATAAAAATACGAAGTCTCACTAAAATTATAATTCTAAGTCCGAGAAAAGTAAAGAAAGTAAAGAAAGAAAACCTGCTTCACAAAGTTGATATCTTCGATAATATCTTGGTCTGTTAACATATACACGACGTATGGGCCCTTTACTCTGACGGGTTTTCTGTGTGAGATACCTGACGTGCGCTTCTTACGTTTACCCAGGTTCTCTATCCAGCGGTCTAATGGGGTAATTAATGTCACGTGATGAATATTGAATAAACCAGTAAAAATATAGGTAAAAATGTACAGCATACCATCCATGAATATGAATACAGCTATTTTTATTGAGGAATAGGAACCTATGTCGACGTTAGAAGGTGTGCGATTGTTCATTACTTCCGTTATCTTATCCTCAATATCATCTCGTACACTGTTAAACAACAACAGCTTGTCTTGCTGAAATAGTTTAGAATGTTTCTTATCTTCACTTAGGGAGGCGGGGGAATGTTGGAGACTAAAACGAATAATCCAGTATTGTCGGGAATGTTAGCCAGTTATTACATAATATATATATATATATTATTTGTAGTTAGTATTCATACAATTTGGCTTACTGAGTACAGTATAACATGATGTCAAAAGCAAGATAGCGGAAAACTGTAAATAATATCACATTATAATCACCTCCAACTGTTCTTTACAGCTCTTCTTTTCAGCTTCAAACTTGTTATATACACTCTCACATTGTAGCTGCTTCACCGTCTCTGAAGAGTACAAAACTTGGTAAACATTTGAATAACCTATATAATAATATATATAATACCCACTCCATACCCATGATAGAACTTTTAAATGCTGTCTCCCAGTGGAAACGTGCCCAGTTACTTAGAGAAACTGGAAAACACCTTAACAGATTTGGGCGAGACATAGCAACAAAAACGCATTATTTGCAGGTGATACCAATATTAATCTCTCAGAATACGGCGTAAATGACTACTAAATATGTTGACCTTTTTTGCAGAGTATGGATTCGCTCCAACAATCTCGCATACCCATGTTAGAACTTTTAAATGCTGTGGACTTTTACACAGAAGTAGAACATGGTGTCTGCACTGGTACTCAATATCATTAAACGATTCAATAAATTATCATGGTAGTTGACTGCCACAGTGTCAGGTACAGGCAATAACGTTTGAAAACATTATTTTTCAGATAAATTATCGTGCTACCACTCTGAATTGAGTGTTGATTGCTAAATAACAGTTTTTCTCTCCTAAAAAAGCAGTCAGTTTAGATTTTACCGTTTATAAGAAGTTTGTCCTCGCCTTCAGCCGTTAACTCTCTCAGAGGTTTCAAATACTCCTCAGCAGATCCTGTGAAGTTTTAACATTCAGCAAACTATATACAGTTTCACTTTCGATCTGAGTTTCTCCTTCGTTTTAACATTCAGCAAACTATAAACAGTTTCACTTTCGATCTGAGTTTCTCTTTCGTTTTTAAATTAAAGAATAGCTGTGTTGACTCTTTAAAGAGGTATATATATTTTCACAAATTTAATTCAGACTATCATTACCTTTTTTGACTTCCTCAATTTTTTTCTCAACTTGGCTTATCCTATCTTTGTACAGCTGTTCTTTAAGATCGGTGAAATGTTTCTCTATTCGTGCCATACTGAATTGCGCTTCTTTTTTCCTCGTCTGGTCCATCGTATCATCTTTAATTAATTAATTACCAATGTAATTTATCAATCAATTGCTAAATCAATTTTGTCAAATTTATTTGTAACCTTTAAATATATATTGAACTCTTTCTTTTTTCATCAAAGTTTTTTATCTACTTAAACTTAACATCTAATACTCTAATATATCTGTTAATTACTGATTAATTACTGATTAATTACTAATTAATTACTAATTATTATACCTGAGTTGTCGTCCTGTTCGCACGAAGAATCAGAACCGTGAGATTCCGAACTATCCTCGTCCACTGCACTTCCTCCCCCTCCTTCTTTCTTAGATGTCATGATCACTAACTTGGAATGCTAGATCAGTGATATAGAAATTAGAACTATCTAACGTCGTATCTTGTAAGATATTTCGTCTGATAATTGTAAATCACAGTTTGTTGATCATCACCTGTGGTCGACCGGGGGCAGGATTCTGACCGGGGCCGGGGCTGGCCACTGAGAAATGCACTGGTAAATGCATGGTTTTTGGCCGGGGCCGGGGGTAAATTTATTGGTCGGGGCCGGGGTTTACCCCCCGGGGATTGCCAAATTTTGACCGGGGCCGGGAAGGGCCGGGGGTTGTGATTTTGGCCGGGGCCCCGGTCGACCACTGATCATCACGAAGTTTGTCGATAGTAGATAAATTATTTTCAAAGTTGAATTTGAAATCGAATAAAGTATACTGCACAATATATAATTAAATAATAGATTATAATAATATAGTATACCATTGGTAAAGATTTAAAGCGAGTAACACAAACAGAGTCAAATCGTGAAATTATAAATATTATAGCCCATGTACATACTTGGATCTAACTAAGGCAACTTGGCAGAAAAAAGATAACACGAGCAGTTATCTCTCAGCTGATCTGGGTTAGAGATCGCGATATATAAATTAGTGTAGATTTAACTGAACAACAGTATGTTATTTCGAGTTTAATATTTTAATTGTCAAATTGTATTTTCTTAAATTCATATGATATACATGGAAACATTGACAAATTTACGAACAAATAAGTTTAAAGTCGTTTTAATCATAATCATGAACATTTAGTGTTCATTAAATCTTAGGAGTTTGGGTTTCTATTGACATTTGACTTCTGAAACACATCTATAAATCTGGCACAAGTGGAGCAGAAGCTTATCAGTTTAAACGAAAGTTTAAATATGAAGATATAGCCTGTTGTAACTTTTGTTATCAAGTGACCTCTAGCTTTTAATCCGTTCACATTAATGACGGGCGCTTTACAGAACAAACGGAAAATGTAAAGAAAAACAAGAGCATTTAAATTCAAATATAATATAAAACTCTCAGCAAATTTAAACAGAGGTTCGTCTTCGTGGTGGAGAACAGTTCCCTGCGTGCTAACATTCCCACCATTCCTCGGCTGGAATGTTCCCACTGTTTGGAATGTTCCTGACTATATGTCATACGTTACAGTGCTTTCTGTGCTATTTGGTAGCTAGAGTCGACGGAGTTGTTTTTATATAGTATATGGTCTGTTATGTTCTCTAACGCCCATCTGTGATTCCGGACCTGAAAGAAAATGTTTATTTAAAATTGAAAATGTTGTAAAATATGCTCTCTTAAACTTTCGACAGAATTGAAGGTTTTATTCGAAACACGCCAGAATCTTGAATTGATTATTGCTGGAACATCGGCAATATTCATAAATCATAAATGTGTTTGATTATTGATTAAACAGAACTAAAAATTTAAATCAGAACGAACATCCAAAAAACATCCTGAGAAACGAAACTCAGCAACAAACAGAAACTGTAATTGCAAAGGATAAAACAATCATGGATTTACAAGAATCAGTAAAAATGAGTAAAACAAAGTTCACCTCGAGAGCCTCCCACTCCTCCTTGTAGGCTTTCTTCATATCAGGAGGTGCTCCAGGAGCAGTCATCTGAGTTGCCATCATCATGCTCTGGTCAGCCTCGTTATCTGGCCCTAAGGGGAGGGAGATATGATTATATTAAGGGGCCGGGGGGGGGGGGGGGGGTCTTTAATCAAAATCGCAGTCTTGTGAGAAGAACACCGTGTACAGTACCTTTATCGGGGAGATAAGGAGTTAAGATAAGAGTTACATTAGGGGTCACGTTCACAAATTACGTAATCAGCCGAGGGCTAGGGGGAGGAGGGTTTCCAATTGATTACGCTAGTGTACTTTTGACACAACTGAGACTATTCAATGGTCTACTCAATGATCTATTAGCGTAACTAGATACTCAATCTAAAAAGAACGTACCCAGGAACAGGGAGTAGATGCTGCGGAGACCGAAGACGTTGATAAAATACCAACTAGCACTGCTGACCCAACTAGCATCAAGAGTGGTCAACTGGACACCTCTTTGCAACATGTCTTTAAAACGGAGGGTAAGAGCAAACGGCACCTGCCATGGATACAGTTAACTACCAATCTATGATTTAGGTCAAGTGATGATGACTGTTTTTAGTGCCGAACAATGTGAGTATCGCAGCTTTAAGGCCACATTTCAGCTGAATAACTAGAGTTAGTATTGATTATTTATGTTAAAATACCATCGATTCAGTCGGTATTTGATGAAGTTTAAAGAAGTAACCTTGGTAGTGACGAAGCCAGAGAAGGTCCAGTTAATCCATCCTCCAATCACGACCATTGGAATCATATTTGTCAAATTACCTGAATTGAAACGTGGTTAATTTTACAATAAAGACGGGTTCAAGTTCTGAATCTCGGGAAGCGGTCTGAGAAGCAAGCATCAGGATTTGATCCAAAATTTGATCTTTATGCTTTTATACTGTCCTAGAATATCAAGACGAGCTTTCGAAATAGATAATATTTTCCGAAATTATGAAACCTTTCATCATGTCAGCCATCATTGAGGGATCCGTCATGGGATTAGCGGCAGCTGGAGATGTCTTCTCTACTTTCAGTACCTGGTAATGATTATTGGTATTATAATCCTGAGGTATAAAACCACTAAGTGACAGTCTAACTATTCTTAAGATATTGCCGATTTGTGTAACATGGACGACTGCACAATAGATAGGACATACAGCAAATTTTACAAATTTACACTCTGACGATTTATCTCAAACATGACTCTATATCACTGGTGGATGTATGTTTACCACGTAGTTTAGAGAAAGGAATTAGGAAACAGCCGCAAGAAATCGGGGTTTGCAGAATTGTTCACATAATGGATGTAAAATGCAACTTGGGAAAGAAACAGCCACAATAAATTTGGGTGCGGTACTGCGGTAAATGTGCGGTTTTACAGTATTTTTAAGATGTAAGTTAATGTGACCCACCCCGTTAGCGCCGTTAAAGTATTGTCTCCTCATCATGAAGGCATCCCTAGGAATGTGGTTACCGTTCTCTCGTAACAGACGTGCACGACGTAGTAAGTGGGTATCTGCTACCTGGAGGTGGATATTAATTAATTACCTTAACTAATTACTTGGTGGAGGATATTAATTAATTACCTTAATTAATTACCTGGTGGTGGATATCAATTAAAAAACAGTTTTATATTTCAGCGTAAGAAAAATGATTTTTATTTACGATGTTTGATTTTGTCTCGCAAGAATAATGTAAAGTTATTTTTTTAAAAAGTAAGCGAGAACTTAATTTTAAAGTAATTTAATGATAAATGTGCTTTAATTCCCTCAAACCTGTGAGAGTACAGTTTTCTTGTCACTCTCCAACAGAATAGTCACATAATGTCTGATCAGCCCAACAAAGAGACATATCATAACGATGGGTATGAAGACATACAACCGGATGTTGGGATCTAGGAGTAACTCTGCCATACTATATCAGGATGTATTGTGAGTGGGGAAATTCAGAGTTTATTTAATTTTAATACAAACATTCAAATTCTAGGATATTAGTTATTTTATTTTAAAAGATGCGATTACAGTGAATATGTTTTCAAAATCGTTAGACTCTATAAATGAAACTAGTATTTTAAGATGAAAATTAGTACAGCAAACTTTAAAATAAAATATCGCTTCAATGAAGTGTATAATGTACAACTAATGCAAACAGTCATTATTCAAAAGCAAAGAACAGCAATTAAGATGGTATACTGTTCAAAAATCGAGAAAGCAAAAGCATCATTGGATTGGGCACGGTTCTTTTTTTCCGAAGTAATATGATCGAAAAGTTCTACGATAGATGTAATTACGAAAAAAGAGCTTCTGAAATCTGACAGCAAAGCCGATCCTAAAATTTCGTGGCATCTAAATAAGTTATTTATCGTAGGACTTCAATCGATCTATTTACCACGGCATGATAAATATACATCTGGACACTGGTGGGATTGACGTGACAGAGATTAAACAATCAGCTAATTCAAGCATTGACCAATCTAAACCCAGAATCAGTGTCACGTGTCATGAAAAATATGACTTACCTCCCCACAGTCCACACGAAACATACTACCGAAATAACATAAGAATTCACGAGTTACTCGTAGCAGCTTTTCGAACCAAATCCATGGCATTAATTCTAAGCAACATCGACATGACTTTTCGAATCGCTGTTTTGTGAAGTTTTCTATCAGATTCAGTGGCACACTGACTCTGCTTTCGTTCGATTATTTGCACAAGCGAAGCTAAATACGTTGCAAATGACACTAACTGGGGCAGAAGTTTATCTGATTTCTCGAACCACGAAACTGGGAATGTTTTTATGATCATGTCTATTTTTTCAACGTTGTCCATGTGGTTTTGAGAAGTTTGAAGGAAAGCAACTAAGTGTCGGTTAAGCAGACTGTCCACTGCAAGCTTGAACACGATGGCTGAAGAGAGGACTCCTTCCCACAGCAGAATGTTTTTTAATATTTTGATACATTTTATGTATTGAAACGTTAAAAATTGTTCCACTTTGGAGTCTGGGTTGGAAGATCTCTCGGCTGTAAACGGTAAAAACGCTTCGTGTATTATCAGCTGTTCAATCTGATGCTGTATTGCTTGAATAAGCTTGTCCTTCTCGGCTGATTTCTTTTTCTTAGGGACATAGTCTTCAAACAGCAGTATTAAAAGTTCAATCAGCCGTTTTGTTTGTTGAGTTGAAAAAGGATCCCAGCAACATTGCACCAGTTTAGCAACTTTGGGGAGGAGAACTTTGTTGACAATTATAGGGATTAGATTAGTATCCGGGTCATCGGCAGAAGGGTCATGGCTCTCTGTATAACCATACGTCATGAGGCAAAGGAACCACGAATACTCCTCAAAGTTCGGGCAACTCGGCTGAATGGGATTCCAGCCTAACATCTCCAAACGTAAAAGAGGCGAGAATACGAGCGGAAGGCACTGGGTAATGTAGGCATTTTTGTAACTCTCACTTTGCTGGAGCTTCCACTTTTCGAACTGCTGTTTGACAAAGGTTATCTCACTGTATTCATTCCTGACATCCGTCATTACAGACTCAGATTGGTCCACAATAGAATTATACTTCTCCACAAACTCTTGTTCGACTTCCTCATCGCTGTCTGGACATATTCTGGGGATTTCTGAGGGTTTGTTGTATCGAGAGTCGGTCTGACCTTTTACGACTCCGACTTGGATTGACAGCCGCTGTTGTACCGATCTCCTCAGATTACGACAATCATCACATCGTTTTTGAAACAGAGCGTATATCTCATTTTCAACCTGCTCTATGGAGTCAATTTTGAGGCTGAGGAGTTTAGAATAATCGTTGATGAAGCATTTAGTTTCTTGGTAAAATTCGAAAGCCTGGGACAACTCAGCAACCTGAAGCTCGTGCTTTGTGATGTTTTGTTGGGAATTTTCCAGGGCTCTTACAGTTGATTCCAAATCATGGTCACTCTCAGCGACAAGCGATTTCAAGGAGTTGAGTTCACCACACAGTTCATTTGATATAGCATCAATTGTGACGTTGGGCATTGTAAACTTCGGAATATAATCTTTAGCAGATACCCTCTCTTGAGGTTTCTCGGTGTAAGCATTTTTGTGATCAGTTATTTCTGTTCCAGTGTTTATTGAAGCTCCTTTCTTCATCTGTTCCTTCTCCCACCTCAGGAACTCCTCGTCTTTCTCCTCGTCCATAATTATGGCTTCAACATCATCTTCCTCAGTGTGAACCTTCATGTCCAACCTCTCATCTCCACTATCATCATCTTCTCGTATGAACCTGGAGTTGTCCCGTTTGAACACAACATCGTTTTGTGTTCTACGATTGTGGACAGGTATGTAGGAGTCAGCAGTTTCCTGTTGACGGCGTGCTTGTTCTCGCTTCTTTCTTGCCTTGTGGATGGCAGTAGCATCAGGAATGGCGGAGGCTTTGCTGACAGGGCCAGGTTCCACGTACTCAGGATCTGGTTCGTAACCAGGGTCTGCTTCGTTTGACTCACCATCGAGATCCATATCATCCATAACGATGAAATCGTCGTCATTGAACGATTCTGCTGGCTGTTCTGTTTTGATCTTCTTGCTTTTCTCACGTTCTCGCTCACGTGCAAGCTTTCTGCTAATACTGGACTTTTTGACTTTGAAGTCCACCTCAGCTTTTATTTCATCATCAAAACTCAATTTTGGCATTTTTTCCTTACTAGATTCACGGTCAGGCTTGTCAGATTTCTTCGATTTAGATTTCTTTGCATGACCTTTGGTAGTTGGTGGAGGAGTAGAAGCTGAATTCTTCCCATCGTCCTCATCTTCACGTCGCACGCGTATGTTTGGGCGGTGCTTCTTTTTGTTGAAACCAAACATTAGTCAGTGCTGAGGATGTAATGGCAAATGTTAGTACTTAACTTTATCAGGTGAGAGGTAAGACATTTGCACAATTTTCTTAGGGGTCGTTCAAACATTACGTAATCAGTTTTAGGCCAACTTTTAACCTCCTCCCCCCCGTGATCAGTTTTACAAATAGCTATTGTATGTGTTAAAATTACATTAAATCATTTGGAAACCCCCCTCCCCCATCGGCTGATTACATAACATTATGTGGACGATGCGACCCCTTATTGTATTCCAAGGAGGTACCACTCAGGTTACAGAATAACATTAATATATTATAGAGCAAGAGTACAAATAATGACTCAATGGGTAATTTTACTCACTGTACATGACACACAGTCGGAAATTTTACATATAGAAATACTGTGAACAATAACAAATCCAGAAAATTATAATAAGATCACAGTAAGTGTAGGATGAATAACAAAATTAACTTTTCTCTTTTATTGGAAAATTCTCCAAAAAAATTCTTTCTGAGTTCACAGCAGCTTAGTCTGAAAGTAAAAACCCTGGAATCACTTGTTTGGCGAGTTGCGAGGAGGAGAGAGGATTTGCAATTCACAGTTTCAGAATATGCATTGTATCTTTTGGCTAGATCACACATGTTAGAGATCGAATCGTGAACTTATCATTCTAATTTCTCAAGAATGTATCCCAGGGTTTTACTGTAAATAACAAAATACCTCGAAGTGCCTTTAAAAATAATTTCTTGAAAGAAAAACTCGATTAAATTCAGCCATTAAATAGCGCAGTGCAAAATAATTCGTGAAATTTTTTAGTCTATCATAAAATAGTGACATGGGTAATGGGTAAATTAAGTATGTCATAACCCACAAGATGACGATATAAATTATTTAAATTAGTATTATAATCCATTTGAAACACATAGTGCATTGCATTCAAAAGGTTCAAAATTCAATTTGACACATTTACCATTTTAATCTTTGTCGAACTGATGAAAAACTAAAAAGGTATGAGTAGAAAATTTTAAAACATGCATAATAATTTATAACTGATATACGTAATCATAAGTTAACATTTGAAATAAAATTGCAAAATTTTTTTGGTTAGCCTTATTATAGTCATAGTGCATCAAGACTTTTCAAGAAATTTCCCAGACTAACATTAACTCAAAATATATGACACTTTGTCTGCAATTTTACCTGACCGAACGACTGACAGTTGTAAGGTCTTTTAATGAATTCATATAATATGTAATATGAATATCTAATCACGTCATTCCATTGTAAAATTAATGTACAATTCACTCAACACAAAGTTCGAAGTCTTTGTATTGGTCGTAGTCCTCGCGGTGGTCTTCAAGCCACTTGTTGTAATCCTGGGATAAATACCGGTATTATGTAACAAATTAACAGAATTCCAGCGTCTTTTATTTTAAAATTTGTGTCGTTTTTATACCACATTATAATAAACATTATTATCACAGATAAAGTTTATGACCAGGATCATGCACGGCTTTCTCTTGACTGTATTTGTTACTAACGACTTAATCATGGAACACTGTGGCTGCTGTTTGGCTGCAGGTTACCAAGCAACTCAAGAAAACCCTACCATGGTTTTAGCATCAGCATCCTTTTTCGAGTTTGATTTGACAGCAGGCTTAGCTTTGGGCTCCCAAGAGGACTTTTCGCTGAGAGGGTAGAGGGTAAACCCTGCTTCGTCGGCTGATTCTTCGCTATCGTCTGGAATATGGGAGAGGTAAAAGAAAATCTGCCATTAATGTCACCAAATACAACATGTGCTTTTATTAAAATAAAGATTATGAAATATCATGAGAAAATAAACTAACCTCCAAATAAAAGGGATGAATTTTGAGCTTCCTCGCCAGTTTCTAAGGTCGATTTTGCCTTGAAAGTTTGCCGTAATGGCGTCTTCAAGAGAGAACTATTTCCACCCTTCTTAGATTTATCACCTTTCTTTGTTGCTGCCTTACTCTTTTTGGGCTCAGGCTTTTTAGCAGGTTTTGTCTTTGGCCTTTTTGGTAAGGATTTGATCTCTGGTTTCAAAGCAAGGTTGGAGTAATTCAAAGAGTTTTTCTGATCAGGTTTTCCAATAGGACTCATCGGGCACTCGAACAAGTTCATACTCTTTTCCAGTGTCTCAAGCTTTTCAATTTCTTTCTTGGATGCAACAATGGGTGAGATTCCTGCGAATAATGGGTACTGAGATTTAACATTTTTGTCCTCCACGGCAGAAGGTATGCCCCCCTCGCTGCTCCTTCTCTTTTTCTTGTTCAAGATCATAGAGCACACTGATAGGGATTGTTCTTGGTTTTGGACTTCTGCTGCTGCCTCCACACTTACACGTTGTTTTCTTGTACAGGTGGATTTTGGGATTTTAAATATTTGATTGGGAGAACGAGGTTCTGGTTTTAAAGAAAGTCTCATCGGAGATTTGGAATCTTTTCTCTTGGATGGCTGAGGGCTATTGGGGCTTTTAACTTTGACTGGGGTTGCAGGCTTTTCTTTTGAAACTGTATTTTTTCTTTTGGGCGGAGTCAAAGGAACATCAGGAGCCAGGGAAGCTTGTTTATTTTGCTTCTTGGATTTTGTATTTGTTGCATTGTTGAGACGCAACACAAACTCATCTGTTCCTGGATCAGTGCTGGACTGCCTTCTTCCCACCTCATAGACTAAACCATCAGGTGTTACTTTCGTTACTTCTTCAGAATCAATGCTCTTGTCAAGTCTGCTTCTCTTACTTTTCCTAGAACTTATTTGTTGTTTACTTTCTGTTTCTTGTTTCACTTTCTTTGGTAAATTATCCGGATCTTGCATTGGTTGTTTCCTCCTTTTTGCTGCTTTGGGTGTGTTGCTATTTGTAAAGCCAGTCTTTCCTGGTGACTTGGTTGTTGGAGTTTCATTTTCCTTGTCCGATTTTTTGGGCGTTTTTGTTTTGATTAATTCCACAGCAGTATGTTCTTTGTCTTGTGCTACGTTACATTGCCTTTGCAACCGTGGCCGTCTTCTCAAGGTTACCATCGCCTGATCTGAGATAAATTGATAACACCGCATACCATAAATGTGAAACGATTTAAAATTATTTATTAATGCTATCAGGATAAGTATAGCTCCTTATATCAACACTAAATTGGAAACAAAATTAGGTTAACCGTTCTATCAAGACAGTGGACTCACAAAATTATATTCTTATATTCAATTCATGAAAGTCATCTTTGAAACTAAACAAAATTCAATCGATAATATGCAACACTCAAAAACCATATAATACCCGTGCCATGCTCATTATATAATATTAAATATACAAAATGTCATGGTATTCTCAAAACAGTCAATAGCTAAGCTTATCTGTAACAGTTTATCTACTAGATCGAAATTTTAATCTTCTTCCGTGGGATCTAAAGAAGCTAGAATCATTAATTAAGGCTTAATACACTGACATATATCCCAACATTTCTGGATTCAGTAGCGATGAGGTTAAGCATCTTTTCTCCGGTGTCCTCTATCACGAGTAATGTTCCAGAAGGGAGGTGAGTTTTGCAGGATCTATCCATGAAGTTTATCCCCTGTTGTGGTTTGGCTTTTATTGGTTGAGTAAAAAAGGTTTAAATGTAGCAGGTCTACTTAATAACTAAGGTGACAGTGTCTGTAGCTCTTCAGATCTGGTTAATTATTACAATTAGCTATTTAAATAGTCATATTTTATGATAATCTACAATATGGTATCTGTATTATCCGTGTTATCTGCATTTCCACGAAGGTAATTATTAAACATTACCTGATTAAGGTAATTACTAAACATTACCTGATTAAGGTATTTACTAAACATTACCTGATTAAGACTGTCAGTCCAGAACCAGATCACATGAAAAGCTCGCAGACCTTTCTTCTGTCCACGTTTCAGGTAGAATTCTGTGTTATCGTTCGGCTCCTGTATAAACAGGACCATGTCTTCGTGTGGGATATCAAATGTAGTCTCTGGGATGGAATGCTTCATTAAGATTTTAAATATTATATGATGTTTCTGCAGTCCCACATAGATTGAAAAGGTGAAAAAGCTCAAACACAAATAAAGTTGCTGCAAAGATATCTATATAATATCTGACATAGCTATAATGGATCCTGGTGGACGAGGAATAGGAATTGATGTGTGGACAATCTACAAATTATCAAATACGTATAAACAAATAAGAGGATCAACTAACCAATGTTAAACAACATTTTGATATAAGGAACAACACTTTTGGAGATAACACCCTCAACAATCAGTTGATAACGTAGTTCCATAACCAGTAACGTTTGCACTCGGGAAGTTGAGGTGTTTGCCCACGAGTAGGATGAGAAAGCCCTCAAGAATGCTTTGCAATACACCTCTGAACATATTGATTTGCCTCAAAATTGTGCATGGTGAAATTTTGAAATAGTTTTAAACCATACAACTACATATAATTACATAATATAAATCTTTTCTTAATTGATATTTCCAACAGAAATTGACAATTGTCAGCACGATAAAGCTAAAGGTTATTCTTGCTAGATCAATTTCTTATTAAAAACATCTATCGTACCTACGCTAAATGTAATACAGTAAAACCCCGATTTACCGCAGAGTTTGGGAGAAAGGAAACAACCACGGTAAATCGGGGTTTGCAGTAAATCGGGGGGGGGGGGGGGGGGGGGGGGGTGGTAAATCGGGGTTTTACTACTTAATTACAAATCCTAACATCTCCCTATCTTACCAGTAAACAAAGGCAACACAAGCGCATCTTCAGAGCATCCTCCAATCACCTCCTCAACTGGCAGCACATTGAATGCTACAGGTTTATTCAGAGTAAATTCCACCCAGGAATGCCAGTTGGTCGCTGCAGCGTATAAGTCTGAGTTTGGTAACGGTAGAGTGGAGTCTGGTGGTGTCATATCCTGCGGAGGGGTGATATTTTAAACAGTGAATTAGGTGATACTCATGAGGTTACTTATAGGCTATAATTAGTTACTTAATAAGTTACACTTTGTTGTTTACATATATATTTTGGTTTATTTTTCATATATAATTGTATAATTACATGTTTATAATTGCTGCGTTAAACTCATCAGAAGCATTGCCAGCTGACTGATACTGAATATTACAAACACAATTCCCTTTAAACAAACAAATTCTACATTAAAATCCCTTAAAGCAACAACAAAAAGTCCCACATCACACCTCTACTACACGATATATCTCACTGTATAAAGCGCACAGTTGAGGGTGGTTACCAGCCACATTAGGGTGGTTTTGTTTCTGTAGTTAGCACACATTGCCATGTCTGTGTCACTGTACCATAGTTATTATAAATAATGAAGGGAAGTCATTCATTAAAAGAGAAGTTATTAATATACTCTGAAACTTTAGTAAGAATTTCCCGTAATATTAGCCATGGCCATAAGTATTTCACTGACCTTTATAAATCATGTTATTGCTCATTGTAAATATTTTGGTCTGATGTAAATGTAATACATTGTCATAAAATTATTTGAATTTTGAAATTATAAACATAATTAATCATCAGTACAAGTACAAGTACAATAGCTTGCTAAGTATCTTTCTTACCTGTCACTGTATTTCTCATGTCCTTGATAATCAGGGAGGGCATCTGACCGAGTCAGGTACATAAGTTTGATATATGGTACAACAAATAACCCCCAGGCGCCACTGAAAGTGAGTTATTATAAGTTGGACAATCGAAAACAAGTAATTTAACAACTGATTCAACAATTTTACTTTTAATATGAAGTCTTCTGTAATCTGTATAGAGTTCTAGAAACATAAAATATAACTGATACGATTCAGAAGCTTTTTAAAATTATACAATAAGTAAAACCACACCAAGATTTAGATTTAACTGATTAGGAACAGATCGAATGTAATGATAGCTGATGAAACTCACTCGATAATTTCAAAGTAGTCAGGTGAGCGCCTATACCATCCTCCCTCAGTAATATCACCCCAAAAGTTTGAGCGCTCTCTTCCAAAAGTAACAGGTGCTGTTATGACGGATTTGTTAAATTGGACCAAGTGAGAGATTATGTTGTTTCGAAGGAGGGCCACCTGAAGGAATTTATGAGTTGATATATACACAGTAAAACCAAGATTTACTGTGTAGTTTAGGGAAAGGGAAATAGTGCAGTAAATCGGGATTTTTTAACTTTTGAATCCCGTCGGATTACATGGTTTGTCTCCGCACTGTATTGGTTACCAACTAGGGCTTATGGTTCACAAGCACTCAAGTAATTGTAAGGGGTAATTAGGGGAAGACACAAGCTTTAAGGGACCTTGATATCAAACTAAAAATTTACACTTTTTCAAACATTTTGGGGGTAGGGAAGATGTGTAACAGTAAATCAGGGTTTACGGTAAATCGGGGTTTTGCTGCCAATTTCTTGTGGTTGAAAATTGACTTCAATCATACATTTTTTATTTTCAAGAAAACTTGAATTCCTTAACTTGATTAGTGATCAGATTAGAAAAATACCTCACTGTCAACAGTAAACAAGTACTGGCATTCCAGAGCTGAGCACATTACAGCAGAGTGTCCTCTTATGTCACTTAAATCTTTGTCTCTGTAACACAAATAATTGTCAGATCAAAGAAAAGAAAGACAACATTTGAAGGTTCACAGAACCAAAAAGGAGTATCATAACTTCATACAAAATGTAACTGTATAAAGAGTTATATTTATACTAGATGTAACATGTAATCAGTTGTAATAAAAATAATAATAATACAATTTGGTAGCTTAAACACAAACTCTAAGCCCAGTGGATAAACCACAAAACTTATGCTCTATTGTGTGAAAAAAAGATACTAGATCAAGATAACTATCAAGGAGTGTATGCATAGGACATAAAAAGTTTTGGAACGAAGATGACATGCTTATGAAGCGAGCTAACAGTCTAATTGCTAATAAGTTCAAAAAGATCATGACATTAGGTTGCATCCTAAACAGTTTAAGCAAATAACATAAAATTATATTGTCAATTAATCGCTCAAGCCATAACTTTTCTTAAACAGGTGAGTTTTTAATAATGTTTTGAACATATCAACATCAGAACAAGTCTTAATTTCAATTGGTAGTTGGTTCCAGATTTTCGGAGCAACAGTCTGAAACGCTCTTGGGTGCGATCTTGTAGATCCGACAGGTAGGTGTAAGGAGGAAGTTCTTCTGCTACTCGAACTAACAAATGTTACTAGATCACACAGATATGCAGGAGCAACACCATTGACTGCTTTGAAAATCAGTAAACATAACTTAAACTCAATCCTTTCCTTCACCTTGAGCCAATGAAGGGATTTTAGCTTCTCCTCGACTGAGTCTCTCTTCTTTAATCCAAAAACCAGACGGCATGCTCGGTTCTGAATGTTCTGCAGCTGCGTAATTGAGGCTTGACTACAACCATAGTAAAGCGCATTGCAGTAGTCAAGCGATGAGATTACAATTGCTTGAGTCAGTGTTCCCATCTGTTTGGTTGTGAGGAATGTTTTCATCTTAGCAAGGTCTCTTAGTTTCAGAAAACACGATGTTTTAAGTTGCTTGATTTGCTCACCAAAGTTTAGTTGAGAGTCGAGACGAAATCCGAGGTTCTTTGCAACAGGTGACAGCCTGACACACGTCTCAGAGTTAACAAACACGCCCCCTATAGACAGCTGCTGGAGAACAAGCGGTGTCCCAAAAACAAGAATCTCAGTTTTTCCTGCATTGAGCTGTAGATAATGTTTTTTCATCCAGTCATTAATTTCTTGGAAACATTTGGGAACATCGTTGATAAGGACGGTGGGCTCCTCGTTTGGCTTGAAACTTGTATACAGCTGATGATCGTCGGCGTAACCTAATATATAAATAAATAATATATAATAATAAATAAATATGTAAATAAATGCAACTCACTTGAAAAAGGAGGTTCCAAGAACCAGACCATCTAAACCCTCTAAACTACTGGTAAACTCCTTGATTACCTCCTCATGCTCAGTCACGTTGTTGTATATGATGTAAAATATCTTGGATTTCACCTCTTGGTTCAGTAATGTAGACAGCCACTGTAATTGTTGAATGTTATTAATAAATCATTTGAGGTATGCGTATTCAGTTCTCTTAAGGGAAGCGATATAGAGATATAGACAAACATGGACAATGCTAATTTATGAAATAATAATTTATGAAATAACATAAAGCATGAAATTAATGTTAGAAATTGTTTATTTTTTAGATGATTAATAAAAACAAATAAAATCACAACTTTTAAAAAATTTGTAAATACCAACTTACATTGTACAAGAGTGGAGTCCACTGGAATATAAACCCAGCAATGACAATAAGTCCATCCTTCTCAAGTTTTGTAGGAGACTTGAGGATATCATCACAAATGTGACAATAACCATGCCAGTTGAAGGAGTCTGGCCACGTTACTGCTGCATTTACACGGGGAACATAATTTGCAAACCTGTAATATTATCATTGTTTATTATTTAATTTTACAACAAAGATATATATTATATTTTAAAATATATTATTTTAATGACCATACCAGTTCAGTAATTACACATTCGTTGCTAGTAAATTGAAGCTCTGTTATGGCTTAGCTTATCTCTTTTTATCCCGCACGGCTTGTTTAGGCGGTTGTTAACAATTCAAATCCCTTGGCATTTTCTGGATGATCCTGGTTTTTTCTTCAAAATTGTCTCAGTATTATATCAAAAAGAGGCAACAAAAAAAATATATATATGAACTGTGGTCAATTTATAAATAACCTGAAAAGTATGTTTAACTTGTCTCTTGGTGCAGACAAGATACAAGGGCTGGTACTCCTCTTATAGTTGTATAGACTGTTGTTCTCCCTCATCCCAACAGCAAAACCTTCATCTAAAAGGTAAATGAAATCCTCGTCCACAACAGTCTGCAATTTATGAACAAATAAGATAAAAGCTTGATTAAATTCATCATTTATTTTCATTAGTTTGATAATTGAATATTTAATTGAGCAATCAAGCAATGGGATCAATTTACATCTTTAAACTTCATAACCATTTAGTCTTCAAACAGATAAAAATTGTGTTTCAAAATACACTAGTCTCTTTCAAACTGGACATAAAAAACTGTTTCATAATCATAGTAGTTTGAGTGAAATTTAGACTAACCTTAACTTTTTTAGCCCCTAACTGGTGGTATAATCTGATTTTTTCCATGGGCCCTATCAGAATGTTTGGGTCTGCAGCATCTGAAACGATTGAACTGTATAAATGATGTATATTTGGCCCATTCGTTTTTTTGCACTGATTGGATTTCTTGAAGAGCTCATGGAGTGGCTGTTGGGCACATTTTGCCATTTGAAGTTAGCACTGCATTGTGTTAAAAATTTGAAATCAAATCGACTCCCAAGATTTTGAGGCTCTAATTCATTCAGGAGCAAGGTAACGATCATGGAAAGTTTCAGTTACATTCTCTCGAAGAGGCAAATTTAAATCTATTATTATTATTATTTAATTTAAATTGAAAATAATGTTTCATATAGTCGTGTTCACCGTCAGCATATAGTTTGTTGTTCTGTTTTGGCAAATGATCCAGGAGAAGATCTTTGCTGCAAACATTGATGCTTGTTGGTCTCAAAATGAAAACAACCAGCTCATTTTCATCAGTACTGTCAAGTCCTGTAAAAATTGACTGTAAGTATCAAAGTGTTCACACTGCTAACTCAGTCATCATCAGGGTGACTTATAAAATCCCAGGTGTATAACTATCTATTTATGATACTTTTTGTCAACAAATTACCTGTATTTTCGATGGGAATGTCATTCTCTATCCACGAACGCTCAACAATATCAAGTATCTCTGATTGAGGCAGTTGGTGCAACACTTTCATGGAAAGGCTACACTTAACCATCACCAAGAGGATAATTTGAAGAATTGACATTACCATACAACTATTCAGTAGTTTTTATGTAGTAACGATAATAAATATAATATCATCTTCAATGTAATAGTTCAGCTCACATTGGAATTAACCAGATAATTTTTAAGGGCATGTTCGCATGAAAATATCCCAGTTAATAGATGGCATGGCCTGTGAATAAACATGTGTATTGTTTCATTGTAAACAAATTTCTTGTTTCATCGAAATATCAGACGGTGCTAAACTTTGCTTGGTTATTAATCAACACTAATTTTTAATTCACTAGTGATGCATCCGTCAGCACAATGAAATCACAATTTTATATTTCTAAATTTCTGAATATTCGTTTGTGTTGCAAAATGTTATGCTTTTAAAAATAATTTTTTATTTTGCTCGTTCAACACATTTGTCGAATATTGAAGTTATCCAGAAAAGAGCGATCAGATGAATCAATGGAGAACAGTTTGATCATTATAATTTTTGACAATATATCTAGAGGAAACTATGGTAACATCAAACAAGAGTTGAAATTAGTTATCAGATGGCTTCAGGCTAATAAACTATCCCTGAATAATGAAAAAACAAAACTAATGATCCTTGACTCTAAGCCTAACCTTGATGCCATCCTTGTTGAAATTTGTGATGACCTTACTTTGGTAATCTGTGAAACTAAATCCCATAAGTACCTTGGACTTATAGTTGAGCAGGACTTATAGTTGACAGCAGATTGACATTTAATGAACATATTGATAACATTAAGAAAAAGATATCCAAAAGAATTGGTGCTATGTATAGATCAAAAAAAACTTCTCCCTCTTAAGTTCAGGAAGATGTTTGCTAATGCACTTATGTTGCCACATTTTGACTACTTAGACAACATCTGGTCAAGAACATATAAAAAACGACTAGGACAGTTAGATATCATGTACAAAAAGGTTGCTAAAATAGCCCTAGATGTAAACATCAGAGAGAGGTCGGTTAATGTATACAAAAATATGGGATGGCTTCCTCTCCATTTGAGACGACAGGTTCATCTTAGCTCATATATGTACCGTATAATCAATGAAACATGTCCAAAGCATTTTATCGGGAAATTCTCGTATATTTCTGGTGGATCACGTGAGGCAGAAAACTGCAATCTTTATACTCCTAAATCAAGATCTCACAAGGAGTTTAACTATCTAGGAACTAAGGCCTGGAACATATTACCAAAGTCCCTTAGAGAGTGTGACGACGTTAAGAAATTTTCTAAGTTATACAAAGAAACTCTTATGAATATGGTGCTAACTGATGAGAATTACCAAGGGGATAACTCTTACGATAAATTCATGATCCCACCCAACACTAGCCAATGTATCTAGGCAGTTATGTTATTTCGGTTAAGTTATCTCAGTACATAAGTGAATCCAATCCATCCCCTGCAATCAAAGTATTTCCATGCCTATTAAGCTATTACAGGAAATTAGGAACATCAGTGGAAAGGTGCACTGTCAATCATTATTGCTCCATACCTCCAGTCCTCCTGTTATGTGCAATTCTCACTGCTATGTATGCTCCTCATTTGTATCAATTATATTGATGCTACATTGTTATTGAATATGAAATAATTTTCAACCGTATTAATTTATTAACTTATTGTAAATAGCAAGTTTGACAAAGGGATTACGTTTATTTTACCCGGAGTTCGTTTAAGTTTAGTATTGTAAATAGTTAATTTGACGAAGGGAATACGTCTATTTTACCCTGGGTTATGCTTTAGTTCAATCTTGACACAATTTTAAAATTATAATTTAATTATTTTATATATATGTATTGTTCATAACTAGGGTGGCCTGCTAACAGAACCATGATCTGCCTTGATTCATCCTTCAGCACAGAGAAAAGCTCCCTTTTTTATACATTATGATTACAGAGGATCTGATATTAAGATATATATTGCTGTGCTGTAAAAATTGACTTTATTTATTTATTTATTTATTTATGATATTGTATTTTATGAGAAGCAGAAAGACCTTAAAATGTTCCCGATTATATCTAAGTTCATCCATAATTCTATCACTTTTTGTTATTGTTGGAGACTGGCCCAAAGTGACAGCCAATGTTTATTCAAAATGTATTATGTGATAATTATTTAATGGCGCAGGTTATATCTCCACCGAAAGCACACTCCCCAAATTGCATGCATTGCTCATTGCTGTAACTAATTTCAAACTTCATAAATCGAGATAAAATCTTTAGCAATGTATTCAGAATAATATATAATGCAGGGGCGGCTCGTGTGGGCATGTGGGCGTTCAGACGCGCCCACATGATTTTTCAACTTAAAAATTAAAGAATTTTTGATTTAGATTTGATGAAGTCGCGTAAAATGTTAACGCGCACAGACTAGTATAGCGACACCATAAAGCCGTGCAATTTTGGGGCAATTTAGACACTCAAAATTTGACTTGCGAATCGAGCGCTATGCGTGGGCGATTTGAAGCACCCACAATCTCAAATTGTACGTGTAATTTGAAGTAGGGGCTGGCGGCTTGTGAATCTGAGTGCAGATGTGTATTTTAATGTAAGGTGGGGTCGTCAACACCCTCACTTTTTCTCGCTATCTATTTGAACGCCTATTACTAGCTTCAATCTTCACTTATCGGCAATTTCACTACATCTACCAACAAATCGCATCCTCCTTGTAGACGTGGCAACTGGCAAGGGACGTGTTTATTTAATCCATAGCATGTTAATCGTTGATATCACTTCCGTGAAAAGCTTTTCTGAGACGTTGTTTGTTTGAAAGTCGTGTTTCTCTTGGTGCTTGTAAAAGGTATATACCTTCTAGTCAATCTCTTGCTACTCCAAGTCCCCTAAGATATCTGATCTAAAGTTCGTGCTAGTTATATATATATAAAATATATTTTTGTCTGCTTTAATTGATACTAAATAAAATTGTTGTTTTCTTGAAAAATTGTTGTTTTCTTGCTAGCCTTTTAGACAAATTACTACCTGACCAGCCTTCAGTAAACAGGAGGTTCCGAGTTCAAATCCCAGTTGAACTAAAGCAAGTTAATAGATGAATCATGAATACGGGTATTTGCCTCACAGAATGGCCAAAAAAAAGGAAGGTCTCTCAAAGTCACAAAACACACTTTATTCCAGTTTTTATCTCATAAGAAGCTAAGTTGACACTCGTATTTTTCTTCCCGGGGTTCATTTAATCTCATAACCATTTTTTCTTTGAGAAAAATTGGCCGGAAAATCTTCCTCCAAAAAAACATGCCTCACAGAATGGCCAAATCTGAATTTCTATAATTTTGATGATGGAGATACTTTTTAAATTTCTATCACCACACGTTCTTAGAAAACCTATTAAGGAATGGGGTAATAACCTAAAACTCACGAAAAAACTGAGCTGTGAAAAATTATTTCACAAAAAAGAAAAAATGCCTGACAAAATGGCAAAAAAAAAAAGAAAACGAGAAAATTTTATTTTTCTAAAACCTTTGGCTCTTGTTTCAGGCATGCTGCTGGTATCAATATGCCTTGTTAACACCCCCATATAGGTGAAATTTCTTAGAACTGAATAAAAAGGGCATAATTTCCTACACCAAAAATGGCCATTTTGTGTGGCGTTGTTCATATTCCCTGATTTCATGATTTATAACCTTCATTCGGCTGTAAAAACACTCCATCTGGGGTGTTATTGTATGATAAATAGCTTGTGAATACTTTAGACTTATGGTTTCATTGAATAAAAGGAGTTTTAAATTTTGGCCATTTTGTGAGGCATATTTTGGCCATTTTGTGAGGCGTTTAGCCATTTTAACATTTTGTTTCTTCCTAAATTGAGATTTACAAATTTGGCCATTCTGTGAGGCTAGCCATTCTGTGAGGCATTTACCCGTATAGAAAAAAAAAAGAAAAAAAAGGGGGGACCCCCAACCCATGTAGCTGAGACACCTCACAGCAAGTAGACCAAAGTGGCTCTTGCTTGTGAAAGGTGCGTCAACTACCCGCCAAAGCGGTGGGTTGGGAGTCCCCCCTGAGATCATTTCGTCCGTAAAATTATATACAACATAAAATAGTACGGGTAAATGCCTCACAGAATGGCTAGCCTCACAGAATGGCCAAATTTGTAAATGTTTTTGTAACTAATTTTTTATAAAAGACTGGTAGGTTTTGTGGATACCATATGAAACAAAAGTCTTCTGGCAACACTTCCTGTGGTGAAATCATTAACTAGGACCACATTTTCTGGCATAAATATGACTGTTTATGTAGAAATTTTGAGCACTGAAAAATTTGTTTTCAAATTTTTGAACTAAGTTTACATTTTGGTGAGAACTTCTGGCACCAGTATGACAGAAGATGTTCAAAGAATAGTATTCATCAAACAAAACGAACATTGTTCAATATAGGAAGAAAAAAATGCTAAAATGGCTACACGCCTCACAAAATGGCCAAAATATGCCTCACAAAATTTGTTTTCAAATTTTTGAACTAAGTTTGCATTTTGGTGAGAACTTATGGCACCAGTATGACAGAAGATGTTTAAAGAATAGTATTCATCAAACAAAACGAACATTGTTCAATTTAGAAAGAAACAAAATGTTAAAACGGCTAAACGCCTCACAAAATGGCCAAAATATGCCTCACAAAATGGCCAAAATTTAAAACTCCTTTTATTGATTGAAATAAATTTTCGTGCACATACAGAATGAATGGTTAATAATTTAATATATATGTAGACCAAGCTCTGTGCACGGGATGCTTCCTGGAAGAATCCAGTTCTTTTAGCGGGGCACCCTACCTAAAGCCAAATTGAGATATAATAATCATATTCCTAGAGAAATAATCAGAAATCGAATACCAATCAAATAATATGATATATATGAGTAGTAACCATATTTACTATGCAAAATGCCCCAACCACATAGTGTAAATTTATATAGAATTCAAATTCCATATCATCATTAAACCTCAATACCTAGTCAATATAATAGCCCAAGCAAAATTAAATAACTTCTTATTATATACCT